GGGTCTTAACATGCATTCTTTACTCAACTTGTACATTAGCTAAATTTTCATTATTTATTTCTACACGCCAACCTTACAATTTTAATTTTAAAAAGATTAACTTACAGACAGCATGTCAGCTGAAATTGTACAGACATGTCTAAAAGGGCAAAGGCTGAAAAGGTCCCAAAGCCAAAAAGGATCCGTTTTCAAGACACTTGGAAAAATTCTAAAAAATGCTAAATGATTAGAGTAAATTAGAAGCTAATTCCTTCCATTTTTAGCTTTACCTTCTGGACGCTCAAAGGGAATGGCATCTTTAAAATAACCACATAGAAGAAAACATTGATTGAATCAACTTGAATATTTTAATGAGTTTCGAGAATTATTTAATTTCAAGACCAATTTATTCCCAGGACGACACCATGGCATTCCGAATGCTCTAATCTTTAAGCCACTTTCGGTGATTTAATTAGCCCCCATCAACTTGACATTTGACGGGTTGAACTTAAAATAAATCTGTCTGCGAATTTATTCTATTTATTCGTTTATCCCCCTGTCTTCTCTAAAAAGTAAATAAATACAGCAAGAGATGTCGCCGCAATATCCTTTAATGCCGAGCAAAACCAGAGCGAATTGCCCGAGAGAATAAAGGATAGCAGAATACCAAGTACACAGCTTTAAATGAAGATTCGGAAAATTAAATTAAATTCCTTAAAATGTCATCCTGTACGGAAGGCGACAATGAGCGGGATCGAGCGAGTGCATAAACACGGAATAAAATGAATTAAAATGTGAATTGTAGCTGGCGAAACGAATGAACAATCGAATGAAAATCCCTGCCTGGCGGCAGATTTCCGTTGTCAGTAGCGACTTTTGATTGTTCCCATCAGCGTTTTCTTATTTTATTTTTTTCCGGTACTCCATCACTTCGTTGCTGTACAAACACGAATAATCAAATGCACGCACAGCTGCCGTGTTTGGGAGTAAAGTGAAAGTTAAATATTTTCCTGCCTGCCCTTAGGCAATATACCCCCCCACACACGTCCACACATCGCGGCTACCGTGTCAAAGGAGCCAGAACGCCCACCTAGTCATTCCCACCTAGTATTCGGAACAATGGCAGAATGATGAGTATACGCAGAGTGAGCAGCAGATTGCATTTTTGTGGAGCCATTAATGTGATATTTTGTTGCAGCTCCTGTTTCAGCTGAAATTTCAAATCACTCGGTAGCAAAGATTACACCAAATGCCAAAAGGAATTCCATGCAATTACTCAGGTGTACGAGTGTATGTGGGTAGCAAAGTTCGTGCCACAAAAACACGTTAAAATGTCGCATGTGGGCAACACGCCGCAAGTCGGCGAGGAGTGGGCGTGGTTCATGCGCAGTGGCTGCCATTTGGCAACTGCCAAGAGGCAAGCCCGGCCGAAAGCCGTGCCAGCCAAGTCTAAGGACCGATGGAACGTGGTGGAAGGGAAATGATGGGAACTGAAACACAACGACTGCGGACTACGGCCTAAATGCTCCCACTTGCATAATGCGCCAAATCTCGTTGTTTATATCTCGAACTGCTGGTGAACTTTTGAAATGGAGATTAACGGCCAAAGTTGGGGAAGCCTTTGCCTCGCTCTCCGACTTTTCATCCCCTGAAGATTCCTCAGACCTGGTCGACTTGGGAGCTCTAATTGGCAGACTGGCTGCCGTGGGCCGTGGGCCGCTAGTCGACCATCCAGCGATTGACGGAAATCACCTGTTGCTTCCACCTGCCGCCTGGCTGGTCCTTAATTAAAGTTCTCTAGCTGTCCCAAATGAACTAAAGCCAGGTCGGGCCTGGCCAATCCAACTTTTCTTATCTACGGCGCAAAAGTTGCTCTCTAATAAGTGGACAGCACTGGATGGGAAATAAAACAAATTAATCCACTTTGCTGAAATTTGTCAAAGCCATGCCATGATGGTGGGCCCAGGGGTAAGACACCTAAACTTATCTGATTCAATGTGACAGGCCTAGGAAGATGATGACGGGCAAACTTTTGACATGAAGGCGAAACGGTAAATAAACCATTTACGGATTTGGTTTTAGTGTAAGCACATTTATTAATATTTTCCATCATAACACGCTTGCAAAAAAAATATTGAGTTCAGTCAGAAGTTATCAAGTATATACTAGTAGCTTATTGATCCATATCAATAGCCCAGTCAGTTCGTTTTTTATTCTATAAAACAATCTGGAGGATGCCCAAGTAGCCGCTAATGTCCATTTTAATATTAAATAATGCAAATGCAGGCCAATAATAAAGCTGAGCGGCAAGCAAATCAGTACGTGATAAACAACAGATGAGAGGCATTCAAGGTTGGCGCTAAACAATCGGAACGAGAGACTTTGGCAAATATGTCATTTTCCAATACTTGGTACATGGAAAACCTTTTACTTTTCCCATATTGTTTGTTAGTTAGCAGGGCTGTGAATTATTTACGGACGGACTGGAGGAGCCATTGGAAGGGGAAATCGGGTCACTGCCAATGCGAAGCGGTGCAAATGTTGGCAACAACAAGTTGCCAGGACACAGATTATAACAAGGATTCAGCGGGACGATGAAATAGCTCACACTAGTAGGACGGTCCTCATGCTGTCGGGAATTCCATTGTTGGCGCTAATGACACTTTTATAACTTTTTATAGATTTCCCACACATAACGTGAACTCTTGGGCCATTTATCGTGCCAACAGCGACAACAATCCTTTTTGTACAACAGCATAATAATATATAAACGAGGGCGGCGCTTATTTCGCTTTTCTTTTCGAAACTTATTTGCGAAGATGTGCGGAGGAAGCTGCCGGATTTGCAGGGTCTTCTGTACGGGTGTATCTAGTATCTCGTATTTACTATCTCGTGTTGGCTGTGTGGGTACTGAAGTGGCGCCTTGGGCGCCCACGGCGCGTATACGCAACGCGGCGCATACGAAACAGGAACGAAATAAACAAGCCGCAATATAATTTCGCAACAAATTTCAAATGCTAGGCATGAACAACTTTTAAACTTAACCCCCACAAACACACACATCTGGGTAGTACATGCTTCTATAGTAACGTTGATGCGTGGCAACTTAAATTTACAGGCGAATAAATACGGCTTGGTATGGGTAAATAAGCAAAATCAGAAGTAATCACGATGATATTTGTACAACCCACACGAATTATCAATTGGTTTTCCACAAACGAGTTTAGCTTGATTTTGATTGGTCTTAAAGCGGCGAAGGATTTCTCATAATCTATCTAAATCGACGATTGTGAAGTTTTTCAAGTCTTGTTCGAACTCAAAACTACTGAAAGATAAATTGCCTGAACTCTCGTCGTTCCAACTGAGTTTTGGTCAGTATATTTTTAAATGGAATTTTCAAACCGAACAGATAGAAAATTACATGTTTATAAGACTTTATTTTGAACCGTTAAATAAGTGTAAATAAATTTACAGTGTAAATATACGTGTAAATGCCTAAAGGTGCAACCTTTGCGCTGGATTCTAAAACTGAAATTCTGAAAGAGCCCAACTTTATTCAATCTTTCTTTTCGCCCATTATAGTGCCTGCAAATATAAAAATGCCTAAATACGGCACCTGATCAGAAGAGGTATTTTTCTCAGTGTTACATGAGGACATTTGCCACAAATACTCGTATGTAGAGACTAACATCTGTTGGCGGCGTTTGTAACTGATTGGCTTTTGTTCAAATTACAAGTTGCATTTTTGCCAGCCATTTGCTTCTCCCGATGACAATGCCAGGACCTTCTGGCGATGCCTTTCCCGCTGCTGTTGATGTTGCTGTGCGAATATCCTGGCATCATTGCATTTACTGCGGCCCGAACATGTGCCTGCTCGTTAGCTGGAAACTATGTAGTTCCTGCGAGCTCTGTTTCTTCGCCCGATGTCCTTGTTTTCGCCAGAAACTTTGACATTTGGCCAACACCTTTGGAGGGTTGGATCGATGGTGGGGTTCTGGCTAGAGCTGACCACAGGCAATTGGCATCATTTGATTTTATTATCTTCTGCAGTTTGCTGTACTGACAGTGCAAAATGTTCAAAATGTTAATAGGTTCTTTCGCTGTTATTACCCCTAGCGATTTGCTGATAAAAGTCTGTTTCTGAAACCAACTCTTTATGGACCGCACACAATTGTTAACGATAAATTTGAATTGATGTAATTGCAAACGCTCAATTAGGCATGCAGATTTCGCACTCCGTCGATTGTAAATAAATAAATTCATATGCGTGGGCAATAAATCTTTTATTCATAAAACCGCGAGTTCATGAGCTCTGACAAATGATTCATACTCACAAATCCTTACTATTTATTCATTCAGAGAAATCTTAATTGGTTTGCCAGCATAATTCCGTTAGGGGGTGAGATTTAACTAGAAAATCGCACATTTTTATTGAATCATTAATTCAATGTTGAAAAATCAGAGCGTATTATTTATTTACTTTTTTATTTATTTATCTATGAATGTGTAATGGTATACAGTAGAGTATAAAGCAGCTAGATTTAACTAACCGAAATTTTATTTTTATTGTATTATTTGCTATGCCAATGCTGGCCACGCCCACATTTATTTGTAAAGTGACAACTACAACTTTATAATTTAAATGAAGTCTTGTTTAATTTGCATTTTCAAATGAATCGGAAAAATCAATTAAAGTCTGACAGTATAAAATAGCACTGCACTGTAAAAATTACTTGTACCAAGGAGTACGAGTATACTCATACTCATAAATCATAGTTTCATTGTTTTGGAATCCCTGTTTTACATTTTTCCTGTTCGGTATAACCAATTTTTTTGTATGTACCGCAAAAATGTACAAAACTTTCGCTGAGTTGTAGTATGTAAGTACAGTCTCCACTAATTATCAACATCTTTCCGAGAACTAACCGCTTTAAAACTGGATTTACTAGGCAGATCGTTGTATGATCGCTTGCCATATAAGAGAGCCCAATGAGACTGATCATGTCTCAGTGCTACTGAAATCTTTTAATCACAACGATGTGGGCTCGGATAATTCTAACGTTTCTGGTGACAGTAGCCACTTTGCAAGCAAGTAAGTTAGCAAATGCAGCTCTCTGGAAAATCAAACTTATAAATGTTTAAATTGGAGCAATCCAAGCCGACTCCGTAGGCCAGGAATGTGGGATATTCAATGAAAAGCAGTACAAGAGTGACAATATTGTTGCGGAGCCTACCGAGCATCCGTGGGTTGGACGGATCGTAACAGCAAATAAGGATGGCACCAACCAATTGCTCTGCGTTGGCATCCTTATAGATTCCAGACGCGTTGTGACAGCAGCTCATTGTGTTTTAAATGAAAACTCGGAAGACATTTATGGCGTTGTTTTTGGGGACTCGGACTACAGCAACCACAATCTTGTCAGCGCGGTCAGCGTCCATCCAGACTACACACCTAAGAAATTCGAAAACGACTTGGCCATTATAGAGCTGACCAATGACGTGGTGTTTTCAGACCTCGTTCGACCCATTTGCTTGCCTTCAGCAGAGGTTCCGAGAAGTGAAGCCTCCAATTCAGAGCTAATCGTTGCGGGATATGAAGGACCGTCATTCACCAGAAGGGAAAAACAGACTCAGAGGTTGGGTAAACGCATTAAAATGGGATACACTAGAATTGACAGCAAGGAGTGCAATTCCAAGCAGGCCGACTTTCCGGAGGAGCTGATTTGTGGCCACTCCGATAGGAGTTCTCTGTCAGGATCTGCTTTGACAGAGGCTTCAGGTACTCCGCGCAAGTTTCATCTTATTGGAATTGCGGTGGCTGGCATCTTCTCGTCTGATCTACATTACCAAGGGTACTTAAACATTCGGCCCTATTTAGATTGGATCTCAAAGAATTCCTTGATGTAGAGATTATATCTAACATACCATACCATATCGTTTTACATCGAAAGTTAAAGCGCTTAAAGCTTATCGAATATATTATTTCTAAAGCACGTGAACAATGAATATGGCTAACCACCGTAAAACTTGTACTAGTATTCAATATTTTCAGAAACTAAGAACACAAAATAGGAAATTTATTATTTACTTTCATCCTCAACCATGAAATCTCATCTAGAATTAATTAAACAGAAATTCCCTAAGTAAGGAAGATTTTCCAACTTTTCTCATTAGTAAAAAGATTTTTAATTTTTGGCAACCAAGCTGTGACTTTTGACAGGTGGGTTTATAAATAAGAAAGCTTAGTCTTTGCCAAATTCGTGGTTATCCATTTGGCCGCGTTAAGTTGCTGTTGCTAATAAATTGAGAGCGCTTTCGGGTTATTTGCGCAAAGTTGCCGACTCCTGACCCAAGCCCAAATGCATAAATCACGCGAAGACCCAAAACACAGTTGGGAGTCCTCGCTATTGGGTTGTCCTCCGCACGGAATTCAATTCACATTTGCTCCAAACTTTCGCCATTAGGCAAGTGCCCACTCCTTCTGTTTTTGGGGAAATGCAGTTTTTCGGCACTTGGCTGGCGCCAAAAGCCTTAAGTACACATCAAGTGCGAATAATTTATGATCTCAAGCCACTCGCTTTCATCTCAACCGGTGCAGCAGAGCAACCTTATCGAGTGGCAGCCATGGAATATGGAAATTCTGGAGCAGCTGCAGTCATAAATTCATTGAAATGAAATGCAAAATACCCGTAATCGAGGCACTCGGGTGCGAGGTTTACAGGGCCAATGAATCATGTCTAATTTTCGATTTCGGAGCGACATGAGTGCCGATCGAAGTGGCTGAAGGATTCGGTGAGGTCGTCATCAAGCATACGCCTCGTGGCCCGGAATGATTAATGTGCCATAAATGCGCGCGCCAAAAACATTCACAGCTAGAGCCTAAGCACGCGAAAAATAAACGCAGAGGCGAAAGCAAATTAAAATACGGATTTTTATGGCACTTCTTTTATTGCAACACGTAAAACACAAATTGAGACAAGATGGAGTGTAAGCGGATTGCGTGTGGCTGCCACAACCAATTACAATTACAATTTTAAATGCAACGCACATAAAATGCACGGAATGTCTTCTTAAACGATAAGGAGCCGCAATTACAGGGCTCCTCCCTCTGGAATTAACTCAGTTGTAACCCGACTCTTCAGCATGCCACAATGCCAAACGGAATGCCATGCAATATGCTCTCATTCAAATCGGCGGCTATTTTTGTCACATTATCGGTAATGACTCTAGGAAGTAGGTATTGCATTATTGTCTCCCCGATCTCGGACTTTATTCTGATACTCAATTTCCAGACCCTTCTTTGTCCAGCAGTTCAAGGGAATGCTCGAGTGTGAAGCCAGTATTTTCGGAATATGGACGGGAGCAATTCAACTGGCTGGGCAGGATCAGATACACCAGGTCAGTGGGTGGGGTGTGGTATCCCTGCTCCGGAGTTGCCATCACCCGGCGCCATGTCCTCGTGCCAGCTCACTGCGTTCTATTCCTGGATAGGGGCGATGCCTACAGCTTTATGGTGGGAAACAGAAGACATGCCATCACTCGTATTTTCATTCACCCAGAGTATCGTTTGGAGCTTCCGTCTTACGATATCGCCGTCCTTGAACTGAACTCCCAACTAAGATCCTGCTTGGCTGTATCGGAGGATACAGATTCTGAGGAAACAGGCTCTTATGCCTTGATCGCCCGGCTATTGGATGTGGTCAGCACGGTGGTGGGTAAGCATCCGAAAAACCTTCATACCGTAGCCAAAGTTACTGGTCACAAGTACTGTCGGCGAAAATATGAAGACTTCAAACTTAGTCACAACGAGGTTTGTGCGTACATCCACCAGGATAAAGATTTTCTAAATGGCGCGGCTCTATTAGGGGTCAAAGTTGTAAATGGATCTGAGGCTTGGCGACTTTTGGGAATATCAACGCATGGCCCTTACGAAAGAACCCCTGAGATACCCGATCTCTTTACGCTTATTTCTCCATTCAATAAGTGGATTGGGAATATTCTTAGCTTATAGGCGTCTGGAAGTATAATCAAATTATCATTAAATTCACAATGCAGCTGGGGAAAAACGATAGCTTTGCATCTTTGGACAAATTAAATTTAAAATTCAACAAGAAACCGAAGGCATTTGGGTCGTCAGGTTCAGCACACGACCTTCAAACACATATAAATAACATAATAAATAAGCCGGTAGTTGCATAAATATGATGCTAAGGCCTTCAGACCCCATAACAAAATAAAAATAATGTTATCAAGCTACGACTTTCCAGATCATAAAGCGAAATCATTATTTAACAAATAATATTGACAAATCTATAAGTTGATTTCATTAATTATACTTTGTGGAATGCAAACTTTGTTTAATGCAAACTTCCAAAAGTTACTTCCCAAGAAGGAACGGGGGAAAATTAACTGTTCGGAAATTATTTTCGGTTGATTTATTCTAGGAAAATGTTTGCAAAGCAAGCAACGTTTACATTTAAAGAATACTCCTCACACATATGCATACGTAAATAAATAACTGCTGGAAAACATATCGCATTGCGAGAATAAGGAGCAACTTCACACTATCTGCAAAAGGTTATTGTTCTCAGTGTGCGAAAACATTGTGATTCCCTCGGTCGGAAAAGACCTTGTTCAGTTGACATTCAAGTGTGTGCGAGATGGCAGTTAACGAGGTTCTACTGGTTTTACTGGTAATGAGTAAGTGATAAAAAGCAATATATTAAAGAAATATGCTTATCTACCAGTTTTCTTTTTAACATATATTTATCAGCCACTAGTATAAACGCTGAGGGTCAGCACTGTGGAGGACTGTTGGAAACTCAGCTGTACAAAGACAAAGCATACACGGAACAGGATGAGCATCCTTGGTTGGGGCGTATACTCTATAGGGATGCGAACCAATCCACCACCTATCGCTGCACCGTCGCACTGCTCCATCCGCGTCATGGCCTGGCGCCAGCTCTCTGCGTGAATGGAAGGTCCAACAGGAAGCAGACGCCCTTTGCGGTCATGTTCGGCGGCCAAGAGTGCTCATTCGGCAGAACCTTCGAAATAGAGGAGTTCTTCGTTCCGCCTAACTACACCCACGCCAGTTACGAACTCGACTTCGCTGTGATCCGCCTAAAGGAGGAGGTTCCCTTTTCCCAGCACATCCAACCCATATGTCTGCCTCAATCCGAAGAGATTTCTCCGACCCTGGCGGGACAGAACGTGGAAGTGATTGGGTTTGAAGTAGGGAGCTACGAGGCCAGCAGCATGCGCCGGAAGACATTCGCCCACCTGGTCGTCCATTCGGTGTGTCAGGAGCAGTACAATCACATATCGCCACATCTCATCTGCGGCTTCGTCCGCGGAGCTCCTTTGCAACAGGGAGCTATCCTGGCAGGAGTTCGCATAGTGGATGGTGAACCACGGCAGTACTTCCTCATCGGGCACCTCCTGGCCAAATTTGATTCGGTGGTTTCAGGAGCAGATCTTTTCATGTACATCGCACCATACAGAAATTGGATAGAGGCGAGAATCAACGGAATAGTCGAAAGTCATATGTCATTAGAAGCACCGACTTAACATACAGATGATTGGTCAGAGGATAGCACTTTATTTGAGTTATCATAAACCTTTGAGAAACTGCACAAACAAGGTTTTGGCGCATTCCTTCTATTAAGGGCACCCTAGCGATTAATTTGAATTTTAGTTATTGGTAATCAATACACCGAGAAACTAGTAAGGTTCAATTAGAAAATTGGACTTGCTTTGCAAACTTTTACCTTTTATTCTGAATAAAACATTGTGGGACTTTTGTTTTAAAGGAGCCGTTTAATACACATTTGTTGCAAATAATAATATGGCCTGCATTTAAACATACCGGATAGTCGATAGTTTTCGACGGAGCTGCCATCGCTATAGTAATCGATAAGGGAATTGTTATCGATAATCGATATGCGGCGTGGTAGGTGATTATCGGTGATAGGCATTAGGTAGCATCACCAAAGAAGAAGAATTTTTCCCTCCAAAAAACTTTTTTTATTTTACCAACGCTCAGACATTGTTTACCAACTGAATGAGTAAACAAACTCGATGACCACCATTCTAGACAACTTCCAACGCGCCGAAAAGATCGGCGAGGGCACCTACGGGATAGTTTACAAGGCGCGTAGCAACTCTACCGGCCAGGATGTGGCGCTCAAAAAGATTCGACTGGAAGGGTGTGTAATCTGGAGCTGGACAGGGGTCTGGTCCCTCAGCCCACCATACGCTGTTCACAGCGGTCATAAGACACATTATGTGACACATGTTATTATCTTGGACGCGTTCCTGACGAATGTCATTCACCTGCACCCCGCAGCCCGAATTATGTGGGAGCTGCGCTGTTTTCAGGATCCGTAGCACCACATGATTCGGCTTCGTGGTGCAGGACATCAGCGGTTTTTGCTAGACAACGGTTATCTACAATTACCAGTCCTTACCTCTATTTAATATCATAATTTCCATCCCAGCGAAACTGAGGGCGTTCCTTCGACGGCCATTCGAGAGATCTCCCTGCTCAAGAACCTTAAGCACCCGAATGTGGTACAGCTCTTCGACGTGGTCATCTCCGGCAACAATCTGTACATGATATTCGAGTACCTGAACATGGACCTAAAGAAGCTTATGGACAAGAAAAAGGATGTTTTCACCCCTCAGTTGATAAAGGTTAGTTAATTAAGTCTGCAACCCATCAGATATTGCATTGCCACCTTGCAGAGCTATATGCATCAGATATTAGATGCAGTCGGCTTTTGCCACACCAATCGTATACTCCATCGCGATCTCAAGCCCCAGAACCTTCTCGTGGACACTGCGGGCAAAATAAAGGTAAGACTATACTTTAGACTTTAACCGGTGGATTCTTAGATAACGAAAGTCCCGTCCAGTTGGCTGACTTTGGCCTTGCAAGGGCTTTCAACGTGCCTATGCGAGCGTACACCCACGAAGTCGTTACCCTTTGGTACCGAGCTCCGGAGATTCTGTTGGGCACAAAGTTCTACTCCACGGGCGTGGACATCTGGAGCCTAGGCTGCATTTTCTCTGAGATGGTAACGTTATTATGGAATGTTCATCTTAAGCGCATCTGATTACTAAACCAAAAATTACAGATTATGCGCCGCTCCTTGTTCCCCGGTGACAGCGAGATCGATCAGCTTTATAGGATATTTCGAACCTTAAGCACACCCGACGAGACAAAATGGCCGGGTGTGACACAGCTGCCAGACTTCAAAACAAAGTTTCCAAGATGGGAGGGAACTAACATGCCACAGTCCATAACCGAACACGAGGCTCACGAACTCATAATGGTGAGTGCAGAATATTTAAATTCACAACCGAAATCCACTATTTTGTACTTTACAGGCAATGCTGTGCTATGATCCCAACCTGCGCATCTCAGCCAAGGACGCACTGCAGCATGCTTACTTCAGCAATGTGCAGCATGTTGACCATGTGGCCCTGCCTGTGGATCCCAATGCCGGCAGCGCTTCGCGCTTAACGCGGCTTGTCTGATCGTGTCCCATAGCCGCAGATAAATTACTTGTGATTTTTAGTATAGTAAGTTCGATGTCTACCTCACTATCTTTAAGTCGAAACTAGCGCAATTATATGATTTGAATATCTATCTCTGTTGCAGCTGCCAGCTCAATTTCATGCATTCCCCATCCTCACTCGCACCTAACACATACGACAAATACACGATCATCCATAAGTAAAGAGTTTATAGTTTATAGCTTAACATGAATTACCAGGCGCTCAGCCGGGCAAGGTGCCGTTGTTGATGGCGTGGCGAAACTTTGGCGGCGGAATCGAAATCCCCTGCTGCATCGCTAGCAAGCCTCTGGCGCTGGCGGGTGTGGCTATCGTCGCGCATATACGTGCCAAGAGTATTGCGCATGCTTTCGGAGAGCGGTGAGTGGTCTTCGGTATCACCATCGTCGTCATCGCTAATCGGTGCGCTGATGTCTGTTTCCTCAGCGGTCTCTACATTCTCATTTGAAGGCTCTGGTTTGCTAACTTCTAGGTTCGTCGATGATTGATCCTTGGCCGACAATAGAGACAGTGGTCGCAATAGAGTTACCTTTCTGGTTCCGAGTCTTCTCGTTACGGGCGCATCACGCTCAGGATCGCTCTCCACCTCTGCCTCCCTTGGGGGGATATTAAAGTTGCCGTAGAAATTAGTATGGAAATCCTGCGGACTAAAGCGCTGTACTCCGTAGTAGCTACCGGAATTGGTATCGTAAAAGAATATTGGCTCGGCGGACCGCGGCGGAGAAGGTGGCGCAAAGTAGGGATCGTACGGGCTGTAGTCATCATCGTGCTCCCCCGAGTCGTATACTGGTCGACGCTTTTGTTGCTTGCGGCGCTTCCGCTTGCGTTTACTGGAAGTCTGTGGGGCCACTTGAGCTGGTTCCTCCAGCTGCAGCTCCTGTTCATCATCGTAGGACTGCAGATAAACGGGCGACGTCTCGATGATGTTCGCACTGCCATCGTTAAAGAAGTTAGCCAGCGGATTGGTCAGGTTACGGAAACTGAAAGCGGGCTGAACACTGCGGACAAAACTATTCCAAACACGAACCAAAGGACGTTCCGTTGTTGTAGGAGCTGCTTTAGCCAGACTATGAATATAGCGCCTTCTGTATCCACCACGAGCACTCGGCAACAGGACATATTCGATGGGATAGTTTCTGGAGCTTGAATAAAAATTGGGTTCAAATGTTCCCATTAAATCAATATTAAGGTAACTGATAGTCATAATTATTTGATAAGTATTTGACATATGCACAAAATTTTTCCTTTGTATTGTTTAAAAATGTTCGGTTTTCGAAAAAGCCATGTCTCGAAAATCAAAGATTTTTCTGCCTTCAACGTTAGCTCACCCAATCCTTGCCTGCTTCTGTGCCAAGCGTCGCTCCATTTCGAGTGCGGGTATCCTTAGTCCGTGCGAAGGATAACTCCATGCTACAAAAAGCACCAGGGCAGTAAACAATTGCCACTGCATTGCTGAATACTATATCTACCTCGGACCAAAAATATATTTTGAATGCGTCCGTTACCGTTCCCTGTCGAAGGGAAACTGAAACTCTTCCGATTCGCGAAATCAGTGTCTTTTGACCAGGTCGTTAGATTAGTTTTTATTGGTTCACAGAACGGTTGGCCACAGTCTTGGCCAAATTGATTTGTCATGTCGTTGTCCCAAGCCCCTGACCATTTCCAAAGGTTGCTATGTTGGTGGCACTAACTCATGCCGACACTAAACCAACTAACCCAATTTGGAGACCATCTTCATATCTCCCGCGGGGCTCGTTGGCAGCTGCCAATCTCGCCCATACATATGTAAATGGATTTTTATAGATTACACAATTAATACGCCATTCAGTGGTTGGCTGGGACTGAAAAACTCGTTTGCTAGTGTGTTCTGATTTCGAAATTTATGCTAAAGTGTCTGAGATGAGTCGTGGGCTTGCGAAATGCTTTCTCTTGACGAATTTGTGCTTACGGGGTTCTCCTTATCAAGATTTTACGATCTGTTTAAAAATACGGGTGTAGTAATGGGTGCATTTTCTAGACAGCTCCTATTTTTTATGGCATTATGCGGATTGTGATAGCAGCCCTAAATGGAAACATTAGATGGATTTGACAAATTTGTCAAACTTTATTACGAATGAAATTGGAGCATGGAGACGATTTGTTTTCGTCGAAGGGAAATCATGTGAAAGAAATGTGACACTTTCTAAAGATGTTGCTGTAAATCAAAAATGTTGGCAGCCACTTTATACATTAAAAAATGTTATAAAAGTAATGTTGACTACGGTATTTTATAACTCTTTTAAATACCATAAATTTTTGACCATCAAGGGAACCAAAGCTGAAGTTTTGGTAGTAACCACTTAAATTGATTCTGATTTGATTTTAAATACCAACTAAAATGCAATATTAAAAAAGAACAAAATATTATGACAACGTAAAATGCATGCCTACAAGAAGTTGTTTAATTTGAAAAATAATATGCATACAATGCCGTGATTAAGTTTTTTGTTCGATTTCGAAAGGGAACTGGCATTAAACGGCGAATTTATAGACTTCAAATAACTTATTTTTGCCCTGGCAATCACGAAATGTGCAAATCCTTATCAGCCCAAATCGGAAAACAATTTATTGAGTATTTTGAAATGCAGCGTCAAAAGCAAAGCGAAAACAAAAAGCAAAAAACCCCCTGAAAAGCGAAAAGAAAATTCGTAACAAGTGTTTTTCTTTGCCAAGCCGAAGAGAGAGAAAAAGCGTAGCCCAGAGAGAGAGAGGGCTGTCGGCTGGGAGAGCCAGGAAAAGCTTTGGACTTGGCCATTGGCGAGGCAGCTCAACAATCGCTTCAGTCGACTTTGAGATTCCTGGCCAGAAACGACGGAGAACGACGGCTTCCAGGACGTCCGCGTCGGGTGCTCTAGAAAAGGAGAGTTGGAAAAACGCCAGCGGCAGCTAGCGCCAGAAACGCTGCTGTCACAGTTTCCACCTAAGTCGAAGGAAAACAAGTCAAAAGGCTCGTTCAAGTGGCAGTTGCTTTTTTTGGGCCAAGCCAGCGGTTCGTTTCGCTCGTGAGTGAGCCACAATGCCTGTGAAAATGTGAACCAGTGTGCCTGCGTGTGCGTGTGTATCTGTGTGTGCTTCCTTCGTTTTGTGTATCCGTACAGCGTTTCGTTTGCGAGCTGCTCCAAATTTATACCGAGCATATTTTTGCACATTTAATTGAATTAAGTAAAGGGCTGAGCTCAACCGCGGAGAACAGTGTCGCCAGTCCAGTTGGGTTCTTTTCGGCCCGTTCGCTATCTTTATATAAGAGAAAAGAGCTCCAGAAGGCCAGCGAATTGCGTAAAGTTTGTGTACCATGTGGTTGTACCGTGGGAAAATGACATTAAGTGCCTAAGTAAATTATATAAAAACATTAAACGCCTCGCTGGGCACCCATAACTCGGAGACATTCAAGGCGACAGCTGTGCAGCCTGGAAAAATACTTTTCAGGCCTTCCGCTTCCTTTTGGCCAAGATAAACGGATTCGCCAGGCAATTTCCCTTGCCCTGTTTCCGTGCCAATATGAAAAATTCAACCGTCCAGGTTGTCACAACCTTTTCTGAGCAGTGGGCGGATTGGGTGGTTGGGCTACATTTTCGACTACTGTCAAGGTGTGCGCCAACCTCAAGGTCTAGTCACTAACCCAAATCCCAAGCCACAGGCACATACGAACATCGCAACAGATCAAGCCAGCGAAAAAAAGTCATCTTGTCGGGTGTTTGTGTTTCAGCCATGGCACCAAAATAAATATTAATATTGGAGAGCAATAAAATCCAGGATAGATGCCATATTGTGGTACATTAGATTTATAGAAGTTTTGCCCCTAAGTAGGCTATTTGCACTTCTGCAAAATGTAATATTTTACACGGTAAAAGGCCTTTGAACTGCATATATTTTACGTAGTACCCTTAGAGACCCCACAGAACTTGGATTTACCAATTTGTTTCCGTGTGTCCCAGGTGACGGGCCTTGTGGCTGCCTGGCCGCCGAGCAGGTGTCTGACTGGCAGTGTTTTTGGCGTCACTTTCGTTTTCTTTCTCGCATTGCCCTCGCTCAAGTGCTGTGCTTGACCATAACCACTAAAAGTGTCACATTGCGTATACGCCGCGTGGTGTCCTCGACCGAGGTGTGTGTTTGTACGCTTACTGTTGGCTGTTTTGCGCCGTTTTTGTTGTAAGCTCGTTTACTTTTGGCCTACACACCACCCACGCAAAGCTGTCGCACCTCTCAGTGCGACTCTCTCGCGACTGAGCTGCTTTCTCCTCTCTCCGGCGCACTTTCTCTCCGGTTCAGCTGTTTGTTTTGTTTTGAATCGCATTTCTCCTCGAACTGCGGCAGGAATGCGCTGTTTATCCCCGCCTGTTGTCGGTCATTTGGTCACGTTTTCCTGCCCATCTTCATCTTGAGGCGCTCATGTCTGGCAATTTAAATTTTATTGTGATTTTTATTCCTGGCAAAAATAAACAGCGGGCGCCTTTTTCCTCAGCTCCTCTTTATAGAGCAATTTGGCGCCCAAAAGAATGCTCCGGCACACCGATAAAAGCCATGTGTCTGCATTAGCTTGACGAGGCCACGGGGAGGAGGGGCGATGATAAATGACAAAACTTACCAGCAATTAAATTTTTAATCCTCCTGGTTGTTTTGTTTTTTGGCTTTGTAGCACAGTTTTAGATATAAAGAAAGTCCGTCCAGCTCGTAGACAAAGCATTTACTTAAATTACGCCCTTCAGTGAACAAAGAAAAGCAAAATGGTAAATTATTTGCATAGCTTTACACTAAAAGCATCTCATTCATTTTCCCTAGAAATTTACCCAAAATCTAGCTTTGAGTTATTTTGAACGCTGCATTCGATTAAATATTTGTATAAAACTGAAGAATTTTTTGTGGGTGATTCTAGCGCCCATCAGCCCCAGTTGAACTTCTTTTAGTTAATTTCTTACAGATAAGAGAATTTCGTGACTTGGCTGGCTTTATAATGTTTGCGACTATTTGTTTTTTAGTTTATCCCCCTGTAAGCCTGCCGTTCTCCCCCCAGACATCTTCGAACTCTGCCAGTTAAGGCAATGTCTTGGCATTCTTCCAAAGCAAGGCAGCCCAATTCCTTGCTCCCCACCACACAAAGCCACCACCTATTCAGCCCCCTAGGCTTCCGTTTCCGTTTTGCTGGTATTTGCAACATTTTCGGCTGTCTCCTGTCGACTGCCAGACTTATACTTTTATGGAGGCTACAGGGGTTCTCGGTGAAAGCGATGAAATTTCCATATTCCTCGCATTAGCCAACTAGCGGCGGCTGCGCTGCGCTGCGCTGAGTGACTGCTCATTAAAATGCTATAAGTGTAGGAACAATTTGCATGTTGCACGAGCTTCGAGCTGCGAGCCACGAGTCTCGAGCTGGGAGCTGAATAATTAACACCCCAGCAAGACCTGTTGGCAGCTGGCGTTTCTCTTGACTTTATTCGGGGCTCAGGAGCGTACAATCAGTGACTTGGAGTTCTGCTGGATGAAGTCCATGTAGTTCCGAATGGCCAGGAAGCTGGACATGATGCGGTTTTTCTCCCAGCGCCAGTCGATCATGATGCCCACCAGGTAGTAGTTCTGGGTGGCGTGCCCCTTCTTCTGCATCCCCACCAGAGGTGCGCCCAGGTAATACCCCACCGGTTGTTTTTGGTAGCCACACACCGTGTTGCTGCTGGTCACCAGCGTTTTGACCTTGGATTGGCAGAAGCCGCGACTGAGCGTGTTTACCCAGGTCTTCAGCCTGAAGTCCTCAAAGACGCGAAGACCAGCCACTATAAACGTCTGAGCCACCAGGGTCTCGTTGACCAGGCTTGGAGGTGGCATGCAAATGGGCATTACATTCGGGTAGATCTTTGCGTCTCGCTGAAGAGTCAGCACTGCCAGGCAGTTTTTCAAGGTACGCGGGTCGTAGTCCGGATGGATTGCTATCTCGGCCAGCTTGATCTCCTGCGACGGACGCACGCAATAGCCATCTTTTTCGCAGACCCGCACTCCGACGGGAGCACTCTTGTTGTGCACACCCAGGTGGACGGAGAACGCCTCCGCCTCGCCGTTGTACTGGACAAAACAGTGGGCAGGAGCCAACACAGTGCGCTTCGATACAAGCACGCCCAGACATCCATTGTCCCGAATCTTGCCCTCAAACCCTGAAGTATCGAACGGAGATGTAATGCCTTCTCCCTGAGGAGCTCAGTTTCTTACCCTTGCCATACACTATCCGAGCCACCCACTGGTGTTCCGTGGGAACGGCGAAGGTGCCTTGATTGAGCATATGATTTTCGTCGAAGGCTCCGCACTCGATTTCATCCTCCTTGGCCGACTGAACTTCCGGGCCAAAAAGGCCGATGAGCCATAATAAAAATGCGATTCTAGCAAGCATTCTGAAACACTGCTCTAAGTCAACTGACTGGGAACTGGAAAACAGACAATGCACGTTGCATAGGCGATCTATCCAGAAGCTTATGATCGATATGAGAGCTTAGCTGGAACACTGGAACGAAAATTCAGTTCAATTGTTTTTACAATTTTGAATTTAACATTTTTTTAAAATTCATTTGGCATGCACTCTAAGTGTATTTCGAAACCTAATTTGAAAATATTTTAAGATTTTAAATACTATTATATGCTCAAAACATTTGGTTACTTCAAGTAACACTGGATTTCTTTTCGTGTAACAAGATTGTAAGAGACTGCAAAACAAGCAAACGTCTACATCTGTGGAGTTGATGTTTCAAACTGAATTTTATTTCTTTAAGTCTTAACATAGGTCGCTAATATTAAATTTACATGGAAACGGGTTGTAAGTGCGGGAATTTTCCACTGCAAGCATTCCTTATCTACAAGAAAGTGCGATACGACCGCTTGCATCGTTGTTTAAGCGATGAATCCACGCAGGAGTTCGTGGTATTTTTCCAGAATTATATCTATATCGCTCAAGCGCTATTTATTTTTAAATATATTTTAATATATTATTTTAAATATAGACCCATGTTTGATAATACAAGTGCTGCAGCGGTCCAATCGTTTCACGTACAATATATTTACATATAATATTATATGTATATCCGTGTTCATGTGTGAACAAAGATGTTTGCTAAAATTTCCTACTTACTCTACCAACTACCTGTTTTTCTACGTATCTAAACCAATCGAAAAGTTTCCAACTAACTCTACCAACTACCTGTTTTTCTACGTATCTAATTAATGTTATATGATTACATTACTGCGACCGATCGAAAACCCGTTTCCGATGCGGATCCCTGGGCAGCTCCCGTCACGATGCATCAGTAATTTCCCTGAACCCACAGACATGTTACTTCCTCATGTTGAATAGTTTATTATTAACAAGATTAAGTATTTGTGCTACTTCGAATTATCCATTATCCAGGAGCGGGCTCGTCGGACATTCTGGTAGACCTGAGTGGTAGCCTGTCCTTCATCCACGTTCCGGACCAGAATGGCCACCAGGTAGAAGTTGTGAGGCTTCTCATCCCGCACATCGATGTCCATCAGCGGAGCCCCCGGATAGAACTTTGTCCGTTTCACAGGATAGCCGCACAGCTGGTTCACCGGGACTAAGACGCTGGAGGAGGTCAGTCGCTTGCACTTTTGCGAAGATACCGTCATGACCAAGCCCTTGCCCTTCTCCGCGCCCCCATGATTGAAGCCGGTGTAGTGCAGGTTTCGATTGGTCAGCGTATCCGGTTCCGCAGTGCCCTCCAAGCAGATTGGCTGAATCCAGTTGGTCCACTCGACTGGTTTTTCCAGCCGAAGGATGGCCAAGTCGTTGTCGCCCGTGTCCCTGTCCCTTTGCGGATGCACCTTGATCTCGACCACCTTGTACAGCTCAGGCCCAGGTACACAGAAGCCCTTGTCGTTGCACGACAGCTCTTCCTCCGGGGCGTCGGTCTCGTCCCAAACGCCCAACATGGCTACGGCTTTGGTGTCTCCCGATCGGTTGCTGAAGGGCTTTACGCACGTCGCAGTGCTGAGGACATGCCGCTCGTTAATAATAACCACGGAGCACCTGGTATTCTCGTGCCGATCTCCTGGAAAGTCATCGAAGGTGGACAAAAAGAGCATTAGCGAAAGCATAAGTCATGTTTTCAACTCGCGGCCTTAGGGAGCAGAATGTTTTAATGGAGTTTTTTATATTTTAATTACTTCCTAAGTTCACTGACCGTGATCCTCCAGCAGGATGCCCACCCAGGGATGCTCGGAGGGTTCCGCATTCTCCTTCTCGGTGTACAATAACTTTTCATCTAGACGACCGCACTGGAACTCTGCCATCGACAATGCTGAAAATGTTATGTTGAACATCCTATAGTTTAATAATCGGTAAACATACAAGTGTTTAAGTTTTACCTACCGCTTAGCCAAGCCAGAGTTAAGAACAGAAAGTGTTTTCCGCTGAGAAGCATTTTTATGACGATGTGCTCAAGAGCTCAGAGTTTACTAAACTAATTGCAGCGAATAATCTGAAACCGTTCCGAGCGCATTCGCCTTTCCCGGCGAATAATTAATGAATAATCTCCCGCTCTCTCGTTGTTTATATTAAAGATTCTCAGTAGTACAACTAGTAATGGCCTATTGGAATTCAGCGTTCTAGAACTGAATTAAAATAACCCATTCCCTAATATCGTTCACTATTATGAAATTAAATTAAAGTAAGCCATTCTTTAATATATTACATATAGAAGACTTTTCTATTTTCATTTGATTTCATTGGAATCGCTTAAAGCTAAGTTCAATAAGGAGGGTAGTTTTTAGTTCTTTTATTTATGTTCGCCTTATCGTAAATATCGGCTGTATATAGTCCGATATAAGGAATACTTAAATATGCAAAATGTTCCAATTCATGACATTCAGAGTTGCAGATTCCAGATCATTTTGGTGTGGCTTGACTGCTCGGAAATCGATGGAATATTATTTTCAACCGCTTAAAATCAAAGGCAATTATCAGGACCTTCATTATATAGCCATTAGACTCTTGGAATCTCCCCTCGGACCCTCGAGCCCTTGAACCCTCGGAACCTGCACACAACTATGTTGAATAATTAATGTTTCAATTAGAATACGATTATCGAAGGCAAGCACAAGCTGCTCGACGGGATGCGAAGGTGAAGGACACCGAAGGACATTGTAACTCATCCGTCCTGGTGGTGGTGGGCGCTGGACTTAACACTCTGCTAAGAACGCTTACAAATTGCCGCCCAGATCCGGTTGGCAGTTTATTGTCCACTCAACTTGACCTGCTTGAGCTGGGGCGTTCATAATTCGCATTGTTATGAGCCCGTCCCTCGCCTTTGTGGCCATCCAATCAATGTGCTCCTGGTCGGGTCTGGACTTTAATGAACGGCCGGCTGGAAGGCTGTTTGGATGGTTGGTTGGTTGGCTGGTTGGCTGGTTGGTTGGTCGGCTGGTCGGCTGGTCGGCTGGTCGTGCAGCGGTGCTCGTAAAACTTGGCTGGCCTAGCCTTGAGTTTGCCCTACGCTACTTCCAGAGGAGAGGGCAGTGGTAAAAAGTGGGGCCCATGCAAATTGCTCGGACCCTGAACAAGCTGCGTGGGCTTTGGGTGCGCCTTTCACTTGTAAAGAGTCGAGAAATGGCCTCCCATTTGCGTGTTCCTCAATCTTTAATCGCCGGCAGCACGTGAACAGCCTGATTCTGCCGCAGGGTTGGAACATGGCTGGTCAAATCGAACTGAATCATTGATTAGGCGCCGGACCGAGGACTATGTCTTCCTTTAGAACTTACATCAAAGTCCAGGTTTCAACCTTAAATTGACTCTGCCTTTAAAAGTGATGGTATAAATTTAGGTATGGAAGGTGAAATTGAGACCGAAATTTAGTTAGAGAATCACAAAAACTATGCTAGACTATGGTATTTATTATTTATTCACTTTGCAGGACCGGATCACTATGAGCGACAAAGGAGCTCGGTAATGATGATAGCATGACGCGCGACGGCGAAATTCCAGCCATTTTCAATCCGAAAAGAGTGCGCACTCCTTCCGTGGTGGTCACCGGCGACTCCTCGACGAATGGACCGTACAGCAATAACAGCACCGGCGGAGCGGGAGCCAGCAGCAGCTCGGCAGTGGCCCTTGGATCGTCTGCCCAGAACGGCAGCGGAGCAGCGGGCAGCTGCGGGTTCAGCAACGTGCTTACCTCGAGCAACCCGCAAATAACCCACCAAGACTCGATTTCTTCGAGCCAACAGGACCCCAATGAAGTGGTCATTATCCCGGCGGACACCCCCACGAGCGCTCCGGGCAGCCACAATGCAGCACACCACTTTGGAGGCGGCGACTCCAGCGACACCCAGACGGAGCAGCACCAAGCCAATGGGCACGGCGAGGAGTCAGAGCTTCGCTTTCGGAAGCTGCAGGCCTGCAAGGAGTCATGCTGCTCTGAACTGGCCCGAAAGGTGGGAATCGGTCGAAACACTACTCTACATACATACTCTACTACTACATGTCTTCACAGATGTACTTCGGAGTGTGCGTGACCATCCTGATGACCGCCTCGTGGGTGGGGGCCACCCACTGCATTAAGTACATGTACAAGTACCGTGCTCCGTACGACGACTTGCTGAACGACGACCAGGACACGTCCTCGAGCCGTGCCGACCTGAGCACGGAGCTGGAGGACATACTGGCCATCAGCGACTCGTCGCTGCACCACGTCGAGGACGCCACCGAGATGTTCAACATACCACCGCGCCAGCCGGTCTACTTCAGCGCCCCCTTCTTCGCCGCCTGGTTCTTCACTAACTTCTCGCTGCTCTTCTTCCCCATCTACCTGCTGGGTCTGGTCTCCACGCGCAAGTGCGAGAAGCTGAGCGACATCCTTGGCGACGTGCTGCGAGGATTCCGGGAGCGCGGCTTCACCGTGGGTGAGTTCGATTGAGTTCGCCCGACACACTTGGAACATCCTCCTGACTGGCTTTTGATCCACAGGTCGCTTCCTCAATCGCTGCCTCTGCTTCTGCATTCTATGGCTGGTCACCACCTACCTGTACACCCTCTCCCTGCACGTCCTCTACGCCACGGATGCCCTGGCCCTGTTCGCCACCAATGTGGCATGCGTGTACCTGTTATCCTGGGTGATCCTCCACGAGCAGTTCGTGGGCGTCAGAGTGAGTAATTTCTGTCTGCAACGGTAGGATCCACAAATTATGATTTGATAAGCCAGTAACAATCATTTTTAAGGCATTATAAAAATCTCTGTATTTGAGTACTAGTATTACCCCCTTTGAATTTTAATTAGAATTTTTAATTTGAACCAAAAAGCCTTGAAAAGAAAAAAGCAAGGTAAACGATCTGTTGGTTTAGATAACCGTATTTCATTTGTTCATTTTATGTGTCTTCCTTTGGAGCTCCTGCTCCTTTTCGCTCTGCAGGATCTTAAGTATTTCGGCAATTACACTGCCGTCCAGCATTTTCATCGGCTTGCCCTTCTCCAAAACGGCTACCTCCAGGCGGCTCTGGCCCAACTGGGTGACTTCGAGAAGGGCACGCATGGCCAGCTTAATGACTCCACACTTGGTGGCCACTTCATCTTCGCGATAGGCCTTTTCAAAGAATTCCCTCACAGTGTTTGCCGAACGTCCAGTGGCGCTCGCTTTGTACTCGTAGAATATCCCGGATGGTTCGGTGTGGAATAGACGTGCAGAGCCATTGGCGTCCATGCCTCCAATGAGACAGGATATGCCGAAAGGACGACGTCCATTGCTCTGCGTGTACTTCTGCTTGAGCTGGGCAATGTATCTGGTGATGTACTCGAGGGTCACCGCCTTTTCAAAGTTCAGGCGATGGCTCTGGCACTCGACCTGCCCTCGATTTATTAGGATCCGTGCATCGGCCGTAAGACCGGCAAATGCCAACGCCACGTGGTTGTCGAGCATGGTGATCTTGCGCACCGTGCGGTCCTCCTGCATCTTGGACAACGAGCTCTTCTCCACGCCTAGCACCACGCAATTGGCTCCACGAACCCCAACCGCTGTGGAGCCCTTGCGAACAGCTTCCTGGGCGTACTCCACCTGCAACAAGTGGCCATCCGGCGAGAATATGGTAACAGCTCGATCGTAGCGTGAGGACATCCTTGGGATTAGTTAGTGGGCAGAACAATATACTCTCGCTTGAATATTGAATATTCTTGGTTGAAAAATTAGGTTTTCATATATCTGATGTTTGACGTTGATTCGAGCCTAAAAAATGTATTTAAGCCTAAAAAATGTATTGCTACTCTACTCTACAGCACAGTGCAATGATTATGCATAGGGGGCAAACAAAAGTTTTTACAATTCTAAGTATCTAAAGCACATTTCCTAATTTAGTTCTAAAATATCATACAAATCCTAGCATAATCGCTCCCTTATGTTGCAGATCGTGGCCATTATACTCTGCGACACAGGCATAGCGTTGCTAGCCTACATGGATGGGATCACGGAAAGCCGAACCCTGAGCGGCGTGGTCCTGGCCACATTGGCCGGAGCTGGCTATGCCGTGTTTAGGGTGAGTAATCCGGCACTCGCCCTCGCCTGCTTTCCCGCTCCGTATGCGGCCATGTCGTGCTCATGTTGCCGTGTCGCTTCGCAGGTTATGTTCCGCAAGGTGATGGGCGATCCGCCGGTGAGCCAAATCGCCTTCATATTCACCGCCCTCGGCTTCCTCAACGCCCTGCTGCTGTGGCCCGTGGTGCTGGGACTCTACCTGACTGGCACGGAAAGCCTCACCTCGGAGAGCATACCCTGGAACCTGCTGTTCGCGGCGAGCCTTCTGCTCCTCGGTAGGACTCCTTTCCCAGTCCCGCTCCTTCTGCATTTGTTGTGCCGTAAACTTTTATCGCCGTAATTAATTTTGATTGCAGTTTTCCACGTTCTGATGCAGTTCAGTGCCGCCGTTACGTACAACATGTTTGTGACATTGGGTCTGATTACGGCTGTGCCCGTTTCTGGCGGTATGTACATGGGCGAGCTCCTCAGCATGATTTCCAGGAGTTGTCGTGGGTTGGCCGGGGTCTAGGCTTAGCCTCTATTCGCTTGAAGGATTCCGTGACTATGAGCTGTTTTAAATTGTAATATTAAAACGGGGCACTCACGTGGGGCACGTAACAACATTTGATCTTTGTAGTGGGCACATTGCGACATAAACTTTTACAAAGCAATGGGCGAACTTTCTTGGGAAAGTGGTCACTGTGGTCAAAGTGGTACCTTTTAGAACCAAGCTCAAATTGGGACTAAAGTTTTTGGGACCTGATTGGAAAATACATTTTTGAATATCCTTTTAATTGATCTCATTCGATCCCTTAGCCCTCGATGTCATACTGTACAGTGCGAACTTTGCTGGCATGAAACTGGCCGGAGTTATCCTGATTGGCATCGGATTTTTCCTCGTCATGTTTCCCGCCAACTGGCCAGACTATATAACGCGATTGTTGCGGTAAGTGGGAATATATTTCGTATTTATTCATATTGCTAGGAATAATGTTATGCAATTAATATGCTAATTTTCTTTGTCAGAGTAAAAGACTCGTGCGTGTTTGTTTGTTTCGAATATTTTACGGTTTCAGTTTATTCCGGTTCTATATTATTTGGTATATTGTTTTGTTGTTGCTACTCAGTGGCATTAATGACTAAAGCAAACATTAAAATAAATCATCGAAATAATTTTACTTTCTACTCATGTTTGATTTCGATAAAACGCTGCTAATTTCCTGTATACTCACATAAACTAAATATATTTAATTTTATATAAACAAACATCTTGCAGAAAGAGCGTTCGTGCCATACTCCGCTACCAATGTTGTTGTGAATTAGCCGAAATTCGCTATGCTCATTCGGTAGGCCAAAAACACAAGCTAAGCCAAACACCCAAAGCCAAAGCCCAAAACCCAGAACCCAAAACTAAAATAGAAAACAAAACCAATCCCCTGATACCAGACATTAGATATTAATTAGAACCGTAGGCAACCAAAGATTTGTGTTTACGGATATCTAACCTTCCAACTGAACTTTGACCTGATATTGCTAATCATAAGTAACAGAAACTTGGCAGATTTTTTACTGAATACAACAACAAAAACTTCTATGCTATCTATAGGTATATATACTAAACACCCATATATTTCACAAGCAAAAACTACAACACTTTGGCTTCCAACTTTGCGCTCACCCTTGTTGAAAGAAATACATATATAGACATGTGTATCGAACTGTAACTATATATACTTGCCTTTATGTTCACCAAAATACCCATATATACCGATCTATACCCCCACACACATTTACGACATATATCTATATATCGTTACAATTTAATAAAGACGTTCCTAAGACACCAACTACCTCGGCTGTTGTGCAATTGGTTGACAATCCCATCTCGTTGTTGTTCTTAACGTTTTTTGGCGCTGCCGTTACCATAAATGTACTTATTCATATTGTTGTTGATATTTTTGATGATTTCGTTTCGTTTCGGCATATCAGCAACCCCAAACTCAAAACCCTATAATATACTCATATGTACCATCCATGATGCCATGGTATATCCCGACCGATCTCAATGCCAATGTTTTGTTTTGCCCACTTGTGTATGATATATCCTTGTATCTGGATGTTGGTTGCTGGTGCCGAGGTTCTATTACTGTAGTAGTTCCCACACTTGAACGACACAAACCCTCCTACACCTCCTGAAACACACACACACCTTAACGTACATGTATGTAGTTTGAGTTTCGCTGGTGTTGCGAAAGTTTCCATTTCAAGATCCACGCCGAACTCCAAGAATATGGATGCTGGTGACTATGATATTGCTGTTGATGATATGTTTGGCTGTTTGTTGTGTGACCTCTACTGAATTGCAGCTTCTTGTAATTGGGTTCAATCTGTACTTGGCAATTACCCGTTTGGTGTAAATAAACTGGATTTTTGGTTCATTTTGGTTCATTTTGTCATTTTGTCAATTAAACTGTCTGCACTTAGAAGGAGAGCGCAAGTTACCATAGATGTTAAATTACAGCATGACCGAAATTAACATAGCTGGATATCTAAGCCCCCAGCGCCCAAGTAATGTCGGTTTTACATTATCATTTTCACTCCAACCCGTCAGGATGCTACCGTCCACAGAGAGACCAAATAAAAACCAAGCCCTGACCCTAAAAACGATTAAAACCTAAATAATGATATACATTAAAATGCATTCAAATTGTTACTGATTGGCATGTTTGAACCGAACTTCGTTTTCTCTTCGTTTTCGTTTCGAATTGACGGTTTTTCGTTTTCCAAACTGATCTGCTCTTGAGTTGCTCCTTTATTTCTGTGCGATCTGTCTGTCTAACTTTAAATTCTTCAAGCTCTACTCTATGCTAATACTCTACCTACTTCTTATAAATATAAAAAACGTGTCGACATTTCTCAATTGTCTTTTTGCAGAAGCATCATAATGCTGGGTCACAATGCGAGGTGAGTTTCGAGATTAGGCTGAGATGAGAATTGAGTATGTTTTTTACAACCTAAGCTAAACAACACGGTGCCCGAAATGTGAAAGAAGGGTTTTTCGTTATTGTACCATATAGGAATACCTTACTCTAAATACCCAGCCCATACCGAGACAAGCAATCAACAAACTTACTAATATATTTATAAAAATCCAACTGTAAGCGAAGTATGTTTTTCATTCGATTTCGTTATAATCCTTAGTCAACTCTTGCCTAGACTTTTGATAATTCGGGTTTGATTTGGTTTCATTTGGTTTGATAAGGATTGCAAGTGATTCTCCTAACCTTACATCTCGCATCTAAGTTTTGATTTCCACATTCCTTTCGTAAGCTAATCTGAGTAATAGTATGATAGCCTTTGGTTAATAAGTAAAGTTTGACCGAGTAGTCCCGGTCTGCCAGATTTCAGTTAACTCTTCTTTTGGCCCAGTGCTAAGGTAAGTCGATCCGAGAGTCTGCATTGCCCACCGCCAGCCAAAGTCACCTCACATAAAGTGCATCGATGGGATGCCGAATGACAGACTCACCCAATCACCCAAGAACCACAAGCCCACCCACTCACTTTCGGAAACACCGGAGTAGATGCAATGATCATGATCTTCCGTTGAACCGTTTCTTGTATGATATTATTTTTGGAGGCCTTATGAAATCGATTGCTGGTTGTCAACGATCCAGCGGCCAAGGACTCATGCCCCTTTCGAGAACATCCTCCCAATGCTTAGCCGCTGTATCGTTTACACTCGTTGATCAGAGAACTAGCAGCTCTCTAGCAGTAGACTCTCCTGATTTGTATATAGTAACACCGCTAATCTGTACTATTGCTTCTTTTCTTCTTGTTTTTCTTCTTCACCTCTGCCACAACCTGCCTATCTCTCTTTCTCTCTCTCTCTCTCTCTCTATGTGTTTCTCTGGACTATCTCCTCTTCTCGAACTGTTCTCTCTCTCTTTCTTCACACACCTACACCAAAACACATACACACAACTGGACGGGACCTGGCCAAATTGAATGACATACGTTGCAAAAATACAACAAACTACACCGCAAAAAACTATTGAACCTGACCACACATTGAAACCATGTAGCGGTAGGCCAGCGCTTTGTAAACGAGATGCTATAGTCACGGGACCGTCCACCAGATATGCGCAGCGGCACATCACGCGCACGCACCATATAAGCTAAGAGTTTTGGACAAGTCACTGAATTGTACAGAAAACCAAAAAACCAAAAAAAAACAAAACAAGACAACATATATTTTGTAAAAAGATTTTCAAGAAAAGAAACTTAAAAGCAAAGAAAAACTCTAAAAATCGAATGCACCACTTGCCAGATCGGGGTAAGTACAAAACCTGATTGATTTGCTAGCGATAAGTACTACTACCAAGGTACAGTTGCCCCTCGTAGAAATAGTAACATGACAGGCATCGTCTTGATTTCCTTTTTTACTTTTTCTGACGTTCTTATTTGACATCCCCTTAAGTTAAGCGTTCTCTTCTTCTCTCCCCTATCTTTCTACCCTTCCGTCTGGACTCTTTTTGGATTTTCGACTCACAGATCGCAGCATATATATGCTACCCATTACAAACATAAACGAAAGTATTACGCGGTCAAAACCGACTCATATGTTGTTTGAGCCAATCGCATGAATGATACCAAAAAAACCAAACCAGCGTGTGGCTTCCGACTGTTTTCGCTTAGGCCCCTGCGCCACTGCCACGCCCACGCAATTCCCCAGAAAACCCAAAAAGTTTTTACAACTGTTATGCGACTGTTAAGAACACTTTTGTACCAAACTACGTTAAGTAACATTCAAGTTTCCGACTGAGAAACTCAAACGAACGAACGGTGAGAGCATCATACGATTATTTTCGATCAACTCTTGAATCACTAGCTGCACCCCGAATCCCCCATGTACAGCTCACTAGATCAATCACTATCCCAAAATCGAAAAATGTTGGAAAGTCTTTCAATCTGTTTTAAGTTTCGTTTGCTTTGTAACGTTACAGCTTGCCTATGTTGTTGAGAAGTATCTTTGCTATTCAAGCTATTATGAACTTTGGAGAGCACCGCTTAATGTAACTATTTCGGCACCCGTAACTTAATCCCGCTTAAGCCCCAAACACCGACACCTACACACACTCCACATACACCAACAACCTCACACAACACACACGATGTATTTGTATATAAAAAAAAACCAGAACATCAGTAAAAAATCAGTAAAAGTCTTAGCGCTTAGGCTATTGTATCCGGGCACTGGAGACACGAGATTCCACACGGAACCCAAATACCAAGGAGTCCGCTCGACCTGCAGTGCCCAGTCCAAAATGATATAGTCATGCAAGCGCTTACTCTATGTAAATGTGAGTGTACGTAGCGCCTTAGAGCTAAACACCTAAGAAATGCCTAGAAAGTAACTAAGTAACTAATGCCAATCAGAAGATACCCTAACCCGATAGCTAGCCCGGCCGATACTAACAGTTGACACTTTGTCTTCCACAAAAAAAAAAAAAAAAAAACATGTCTCCCAAAACCCAAACTATAGATGGGGTCGCGGCCCTCGGAGCGGTACTTCAACAGGTCAGCATCCCACCATTATCGACTATCGGACGGGATACATAAGGTCCCATCTTCGTTCACCCTCTGGCCGTGTGAGATGACTGATCTGTCGCCGACCACCTCTGGGTTTCTACATGGCCATGGCGGCGCCAACGCACAGCATCACCAGCAACTTTTGCACCACCAACAGCAGCAGCATCAGCAGACCCACCAGCAGCACCTCCAGCAGCAGTACCACCACCGGCAGCACTCGCTCCACCAGCAGCACCTGCAGCGCCAGCACTCGCACACCTCGCTGACCAAGATCCACCGCCAGAGCAGCAGCCACAGTGTCCACGGTGGTGGCGGGCGGGCGGAGCACCACCGAACCACTACAGGAGCCACCGGACGGCTCTTCTCCTACTTCGGAAACGAGCAGGAGCACGAGCGCAAGAAGTCGGAGACGTCGTTCTTTAATCTCGGATTTCGGAGGAAGTCCACCGTGGTCTACTACGCTCCAGCGGATTGAGGGAGCACGACTTGCTCAGGCATATCAAAACCATATAAGCAAGAGGATACAATCAGATTTATTAGCGAGACAGATGGGTTATAGTTTGTTTGTCATTATATCATAATTATTGTCGTTGTTGTTGATGTAAAAGTTCAATCGGATCGCATGCAGTTACAATTTTGCTCAAATATAACACATTTAAAGGCTACAGTTACAGAAACACAGATACATTTGCAGATACACATACAGATGCAGATACACACCAGCACGGAGTTAGTCTCCCCACCTCCAATGAAAGGAACCCATGACCACGCACCCTGCCTCGCCTTGAATCTCAGTCTCAAGATACAGAAACCCAAGAAGGAGCCCGCGATCGAGCTCAAAAGTGCCCCGAAAGTTAACTATATACGGTTATAATTTAATACTCATAATTATTACGAAATTGTATAAGGAATCGAAGCCAATTGTTTTAGCAATTATATACATTAATTATAACGGCAATTAATAGTCAAATATTTTAAAGTGGATTCACTGAAAGGCGCACCTTCAGAAGGGAAAGATAACGAAAAAATGAACAAGAAAATCCAAGATATTAAATGCAAATAGTTGATAGAAGTCACCGAGAATATTCAAATTTCACCCGGCTAAGGAACCCATTAAACTGTAAGCTCATCTAGCGAATAGATCCGAATGGTTTTTCATTTAAACTTAACAATTATATAGGGATTAACTTTTTTTAAAGGATTTTATTTGAATGCGAACTGAATGTGAGCCGAGTCAAAACGAATCGAAGTATTAGTATTTTTAAATGTTTATGTGTTGTTCGTAATTCGTAATTCGAAGTGTTATAGAGTTGAATTGAATCAACGAGGATACTGTTGTATTAACGCAACCGTCTCTTCTTTGAACCAATCTGGATCTGGGAGTACCCATATTGGAACGCTCAGATTAGAGCTGTTGCATGTTATATGAATTAAGTTGTGTAGCCACATCCAATAATTGATTTGTGATAGTTTTTAAAAATGTTTGATAACCACCCGCATACACCACATACTTTTACCGACCCTACCCAAATAAAAGGCAATGGTATAGCTGGGATGTATTTAGAACACACGAAAACCGAACACGAATAAATAGTTGAATAAAACCCTACCAATTGTGGAATTTACTATGTATTTTAATGGGACAAAACCAGCAAGCCATGGGCCATTATTCAGTTGTCAAGGGAACTGTCAGGAATGAACACTTTCTCAGTATTAAAACATCAACCATTCTGAATAAATCCAAAAATTTGTTAAAATTCTAAAGGATTAAAAAAATAAATCAAAGTCCAAATTGGAAATTCTTCTTAATATTTCGTGGATAGAAAGCCGATTGTAAGCCGTTGGATAGCGCGACCCAATTCAAATCGAGCCAATCGATCGAGTGATCGCGAATATATATAAGATAATATTATTGGAGGAGAATTTACGCCGCTCGGTGATAAGACGGGCGACGTGAATACGTTTTGGAGTTTTCAAGATCTTTTGTAATTTGTTTTGTTCTCTAAAGAATCACACATTGTGATATCATTTAGCACTTTTATAAAAGCTGGAAAATTCAAGCAACGGATTTTGATCTTTGATTTGTGCTCTTCGATCGTAATACATTAAAATTGTAAAGCGTGAAGAAAAATCACTTGACAAGAACTGAAATCGGAAGCACCGACAACTAACGTCGGGGACATTCGCAAACAAAATGAATAAGTTTGGTAAGTCAGCGGGTTTTTGCTACAAAATCATATATTTGAACATTGTGTATATGGATGGATTTCTTTAAAATTATAAGACACTTAAATTCTATACATTAGGCTACTCAAGAAGGTTGTAGAAGTTTTGCGATTTTGTCTCAAGGCACTTATCACTAAGATATGTAGATACATAATACAAAGTAGACTACTCATTGGACGGATGTTTGATATAGTCTGTTGGGTTACAAATATTCAATGAACACTTATTTCAGTTTAAGGCACAATTTACACATTTGATTGCTTCTTTTTGCTTTGTACTGATCTACAAATATATTGCGGAATGTTAAGGGGACAAGACTCCCAGAAACAAAACCAAAAGCGGACACAGGCAGCCACTCGAACTTGTTTCGGCTGACGCGGGCATTTTTCCAAATAGAAATGGAGGAGTTGCCCGAATGCTGAGACAGTTACTGCCCACCGCTGCTGCCCTGAAATGACTATGAAAAATGTGTGAAAAAGATTTTTTCTGCCCCTGTCCAGCTACCTATGGCTATAAAGTTTTAATGAAAAAAGCTGGAGATTTCTTTTTGCCCTGGTAGGAGACCAAGTGGCTGATAAACTGGTTCCTGCAGCGCATAGAAAAAGTTCTCAGGGTACAGATAATAAAAATTCAAGCGCATATGATAATCAAGGCACAAAAAACAAAAAGCGGAAAAAACGCCACAGCGGCAGCAGCATCGGCATACATATTTAATTCAGAAAAAAATCGCAGCCAACAGACCATCGTCGATTTAATATAAGAAAAACACGACGGCAGGCGTTGGATTTTTTGTGGCATCCGTTGGTAGGAAAAAAAGGTGTGTGTGCGGCACAAACAACCCTCAGCTAGGACCTGGACGACCTCCCTGATGGGTGTAGGTACGCCTGGGCCTAACTGGGTTCGGATGTTAACAGGTTTGCGATCGCCGCACATACGCACACACAGCTGTGCGACTTCACGGACATTAGAGAGGATCTCCGAAGGAGGAAAAGACGAGCTACACGGCATTTCCGTAATCTGAGCGCAGTAGGCGCGGCTGTTTGCGCTTTTCTGACGATGCTGCTGCTTGTGCTACTGCTGCTTCTGCCGCCTTTGATAGAAATGACAAATAACCAGATTCATTGTAATAGATTATGTCTACAACTTAATCGCCTTGCAGATAAATGATGACAATGTTCAAAGGGAGCAACGATGGAGAGCTGGGCTGGCAGCTCGTTTTGTTTTTGGGTGTCAATTTTGTGTCTGTGTTGCTTTGTAGTTATATCTTTTGTGGAGAGATTTGATGTGAGTTTTGTTTGGACGGAGGTTTGCGTTAGTTATTTGGCATGCGGTGCTTAACTAAATCTATACAGCAGGGTGAGCGTGAGCCCGATCAGCGCGACCACAAGTCCCAAAGCGGATTGGAGACCCGAAGCTCCGGCCAATCGGCACTTGAACATATCGTAGCGGGTCTCGACATCAGCCACGATATTTTGGTACTCGGCCTCGACCAGCTGTCCATCGTAGTAGGTGATCAGATCCTCGAAAGGATACTCGTATCCCTGTAGGCACTCGCACTTGTAGCCTCCAGTTTCATAGCCACGGCCCATAATGGGAACGCACTTAAACAAATAAGAAGCAAATCAGATTGGGCTTCCAAGTTTTAATAAATTGTACTTACGTAGGAGGATTGCTCGTCGCACTTATGTGTGTTCTTAAAGGCATTCGGTTCGTAGTACCAGTCCGGGCACTGGTTGATGTCCAGCTGCATCATGTCCATGGAGACGGCCACCACACCCCTGCGCAGAGCAAACAAATTAGTCAGTTTAATTGCTTCTATTTGCATCACAATGCCAGAAGTCGCAAGTCAAAAGTTAGGTCTTGTCAACACTCCAAAATTAGACAATCAAACCAAGCGCATTTGCATGTGAATGAAAGTGGGATAGGAATTGAAAGTGGGACTGCTTCCTAAAAAGGGGTTTGAGCGGCCCGCGACGGCGGCACGCAACGGACCGGCCCAACAAGTCGCTCGATCTCAACCCAACCCCTATACCACATTATCCCCTCAACTTACTTGAATTCCAGCTTGACTTTCAGGCTGTCCCAGCCGAAGAAGGGCACCGCATAGGTCACTAGCCACTTCTTCACATATCCGTCGCAGTCGAATTGCGGTTGAGTCCAGTAGCCGTGCTTGATGTTGGCAGCTCTGTACGAATTGGGGTAGTGCTCGTACTTCTGCTGGTATTCACCTGTTTCGTTATGGCGGATCTTGATCTTCATGTAGAAGGTCTCCAGGTCGTCGAAGTTGGTGTTCCAGCGTTGCTTCAGGAACTTGAAGTACTTCTTCTCTGTGTAGAGTTCGTGCGTCTTGTTGAGCCGCGCCAGGTCCTCCACCTTGAACTTCCGCGTGTTGAGCTCAGTTTTGTAGGCATAGGGTGCGAAATATGTGCGATTGGTGAACTTGTTGCGCTCCCAGAGCATTGTGGCTGACCAAACCTTGCTGTCGCCCAGGACAATGGCAAGGGTCTCGCCGATCATTTGATCCTCGGTCAGCGGCTTGTCGGCCACACGCTTGCCCGAGTACACTTCGTTGGGATCCGATACCTGTAAGGCGGAAAATCAAGTTATAGTTTGGGGAACATTTTCGGTTTTGGGAAACGGAAGTTTCCCCCAACTCTGCTTTCAATGCTAACAACTTGTGCAAATATGAACAGAGAGAGAGTGAGCTGGAAGGAGACTCTCATCCCCAGATTTTCCCTATGTGTTCGTGGCTGCTGCTGCTGGTCTTTAATGAAGACGACGCCTTGTGGCGAACCCGTTTTTCGTGTCCTCGGCGCTCAAACTAATGAATTTAGCATTTGGTAATGGTTTGACACTGAATATTTAATTCACGCCGCGCGGCTGGCAACTCAGAATGCCAAATAGTTCGAGCAGCAGCGGTAAGAACCGAGAAACTGGCAATGCAGGAAATTCGAGGAAGTTGAATTACGCGTGGAAAATTATAATTTACACTTGAGAAGATTTCAAGAGCCGTCGTCGAAGGCTCTTAATAGGTGTCGGGTTATCAATTATTGCTCTTCATTTAGCGTGAAGGCGATGAGAATCCGTTGCCCTGAATCGTTTGCTTACCTGCAAAAAGGCGCTTATAAAGTTGGCCAGTCTCACGGCCATCTTGGCTTCGTTCTCAAACTGCTCCTTGGCGCCGAAGCTCACATCACCGCGTAGAATCAGATCCTGCGGATGGAAGCTGTCAGGGCGATAGCATAATTGATCAGTTTATTGAAGTAACCTTGGCTAGAAAAGTTCAGTATTTGTCTTACTTTTTGCAAGTGCGATAGTTGACTCCATGAATATACTTCAACGCCTGATCAATATTTAAGTGCTCAGCATGAAGTGATCGAGAGCCGGTGGTGTAGTTGCGATATTCCGGGTGCCGATCTAGATACTTTTGGCGTATGTGGTAAGAGGCCTTGTCCCACTGAATGGGAAGCTTTTGAATCCCTAAAAACACATGAACAGTCAAATCAAACTTATACATATTGCTACCTTATACATACACCCTATCTTTAGGCAATCGTACTCGTTGTAGTACTGTTCTGCCGATGCGCGCTCCACAATCTCGCCGAGATAAGGTCGCCGCACCACGTTGGGCAGCCGGAAACCTGGCTTACAACGGCACTGGTAGCCCCCGCGCCTAAAGCCCCAGCCTTGCAGTGGCTCGCACTCTGTGGTTTCTTTTTTACACCGCGCCGTGTCCGCAAAATGATTCGGTCCTTTGTTGCCTTCACCCAAGGGACACTGGTTTATGTCGATACGCTCAAAGTCCATCTCAAGAACCGAAACGGCAGTGTATCTAAAAGCGATTAAGAAGATTAGAGGCAGGAAATCCAGCCGATATTCTAGGTATCTTACTTGGGATATTCAATGTGCCGGAACTGGGTGTGTCGGGGGTAGATATCCGCAATGGGCACCACAGCGGCCACCAGCCACTTGTTGGACCTGCCACAATCGAAGTACGGCCTTGTAAATTTGATGGGACCAGGGTTTTCCTCAGAGCCAGGAGGGCCGTGGAAAGTATACGTCTCGTTCGTGTTGTTCGCATAACGGATTTCTACCTGGTAGGTGATCTTCGTGTCGTGCCGTCCCTCAACGTTGTCTGGAAGCCAGGCGCGGTACCACTCGTTAATTTTATACAGGTCGTGGGTATAGTCCTTGGATATGGAGTCCGGATGATGGGCGCCCAGATCCTGAACATCAAAGGTATTCCACGTCGATATCTTCTGCAGATGAATAGGGTCGTTGAAGTCGTCCAGCCTGAAGGTTCTTGGCCCAAATCTGGGGAACGTCTTGTTGAAGAACCCGCGATACGAAGAGGAATACGAGCTGTTGGGCGAGAAGTACACGGCCGAGGCGTTGATGTGCGGGTTGGCGGAGACGTCGGCCACGGTGGACAGGAAGTAGTACATCATGCCGGGATCGTAGGTGTCATTGATGGCGGGACGAATAAACCTCGACTGGAGAATGTAGCTCCAGAAGAAGCTTCTGCTAAGGGCCATATTCTGAAGATGCAGCAGGGCGGTGCGGTTAGGGAACACCGGATTCACGTTGATCTCCTTGATGTCCGGCTTGTGGGACACCGCATCCACGGGCATGAACAGATCCGAGTGGTGCTGGATGGGACAGTTATCCGCGTTAACCTTGTCGAACTGCCTCTTTATCTCGTCGAACGCATCCCGGGCCTGCCACTCGTGTTGGGCGAACACGCCCACGGCTAGCACCAGCATAAAAAGCAAATAGCTGCGCCCCAAAATCGATGAGGGGAACATTTTGCCCGACTCCTACCGCTCACAGTTATTGCAAATAAAACGAACAACACTATCAACCTAGAAACTAAACATAAAATGAGATTCTGGGGCGGGCCAACGCCAAGCTGGGATTAGTAATAGAAAATTGTGATGCTCAGCACTTGTTGGAACTACGCCCTCAAATAGAGATGAGCCAACCTGCCCGATAGTATCGATATATTGCTTATATTGGTTGCTGACTGATATCGAACATTTTAATAAATAAGGTTTGATGTTTGCTATCAACTGATAGATGATTTGATTTCTAAAAGTAATTGCTTCAATATATGTATTTACATTCAATCTTATAAAATAGTAATAATATATTGTCCTTCCGAAAATCCCCTATAACCGGGCTTGCCTAATGGTTTCCCTGTTTTTACGCATTGCATTATAATTTTAGTTATATTACAATGTTATTCTCAAATTAAGTAATATATGATACAAATTTTTTGTTAACGTCATTAAGAAATAATTACCAGTGCTGCAAAGCAAAGAATTTATTTAAGCTAGTTTACTCATCGATTATTGCACTGTTTGTGTTATCGAACTGGCGGTACAAAAGAAAATAAACATTTTGTGAATTCAAATTAGTATAATTTATCCGAAATACAGCAGAGTGGACTGTAGCTAGCCGTTAAAACATGGCCCAAATTGAAATTGGCCAAAAGGACTGGAGGTGCAGAAATTTGTGTGCCATTTAAATTCTCGTCTGAGTGAGTTTAAGGATTTAGTGCGGTAACAGCTTGCACTGGTTCATTAATTTAATATAAACAAAACTTACCGGATTTGCACATATGTTGACATCTTCCCACCATATACATATGTACATATGTAGATATTAAAGGCATTCAGGGGTGTAGTTAGCGTTTTTCATGGGGTGATTGTACGCTTATTTTATTCACATGTTATTCGGGGAACACTACATTTAAATTAATTTGTGCAATATAATTAATAACAAATAATGCATTTTTCCTAAAATATGAAGAAGGCTATTGGAAACGGATGAACGGACGGAAACATTTGACTGAAATCATGATTCCTTTGGCAAGGGTATACAAATGCATCGGATAAAAGTTTCACCCCTTTACATTCTTCCTACGCCCCTGCCCCATGACCCTCTTTGGCGACAAGATGCCCCTTCTGAATTATTGAACCCTCCTGTGTGATAGGGATTGAATTAATCCAGATTCAGGTCAGCACCCAGAGTAGCTATTTTGGCAACTTTGCGGCTGCGGTCACAGCTTGAAGTTTTCGTCCCTGGACCCCTGAGACCCCAAAGGCCATTTCCTGGCGCTATCGTTCAGCGTCAATCTGTTGTGGTCGTCCTGCTCATCCTCATCCTGCTATTCAGGCAGCTCCTCCTCCGTGCAGTTCCTTCCTCTTCCCTGCCCCTCTGGCTCTTCTGTCGCCACCTGCGCTAAATGACACGAATTAGTGGATGAGTCGGGTGACCCCTTCCTTGACCCTCCTGCACTCGCATTGCACCACTTTCATTACATTGCTGCATCCTCGTCCTGGCCATTTCGCCTAGGTTATTTATTACACCTGTCGTTTGTTGTTTTGCTTTTGTTGTTCGCTTTTCCCTGGCCAGTAGCTTTTTTGCCAGTTGCATTGCAGGGGGATCCTCCTGGCCGACAAAACTAAAATTCGGCACAAACATAATTTCCAGTTTGTCGACTGACATTTCCGTACGTGTGTGTGGGTGCATCTGTGAGCCAGTGCATCGGTATGCGTACCTGCAGCGGTGTGGCATAATGCAGATAAATCTACGCGCCTCTACCACCTCTTTATTTTCCACGTGGGAATCGCCACGATGCACTGCAGCATTCACTTTCGGGTTCAGTTAATAAATGTGAAAAATCCATAAGTTGAATATGCAATTTGTAATTAGAAAGTGGAAGAACTTCCTTGAAAATTATTTAATTTGAATTTGATATTTCATTTGTATTTGAAATAATATCTTGATAGTGGAGCATAGTTGGCATAATTTCTTTCAGTGTGCTGTTATTTTGTTCTGGCCTCGTTTTCGCCGGTCTCGTGTGTTTTGTTTTAGTTGGCCCATTCGCTTTTTGTTTTCGTTAGCACCGCACCGGCTACTGTAATTGATTGTTGTGTAAATTCCGTTGTTGTTGCCGCAGTTGTCCTAAATGGCAATTGCTTTGAGCCAACTGGCGAGGAGAGAGTTTTCCGAGGGCAGGGATAGGGGCAGATCTATAGAATGATGTTGCATGGAGAGGAGCCAGGAGATTTGGCAACGTTGCATGGCAGATAACGTTTTAATTCGGCCATGTGCCAGGGCATTAAAAGTTTGCCAACTGGGGATTGAACAAGTCGGGAAATTTGAAAGTTTGGCCCAAACTGATGAGAACTAACGAAAGCCTTTGGTCTGAAATAGTAAATATATTGCTACAAAGAGTGTACCCTACAAACTAAAATTTCTTTAGTTAATGTAGGATAATAAGCAAATCACTTTCACTATAAAAAAGTATTAAATTAATCTTGGATAATTGAATATAAATATATACAGATTTCCTCATTGCGCGCTGCTCCCGCTTATTCTCCGAGTTTTTTTTTTAACTCGCAGAAGACATTTAATAATACCCGCACTGACTAATTTGCGATAATATTTATCAGGACGAGGGCCCAAAATGGTTTCAATTCTTTGCACAAAATTGCCTTCTAAATCGAGGCGAGGGTTCAAAAACCAGCCGAGAACAAAAAGCGCAGCGCAGATAAACAAGATGGAAAAATAAATATAAAAACCATCTTAGAATGCCAGACAACGGACAACAATTTAAACAAAATCAAACAGACTTTTTTTGGGGCGTAGATATAATAAAACAAAAGCGAGCATGAACAATGCCCGACAAATGGACATACTTAGATTTGGATTGGGACATGGACTTGGAAATATGCAAAGCGATTTTCCAGTCGATCCAGTCCTCTACCCCACTCTGCTCCACTCAGCTTCACTCAGCTCCACTCCAATGCGATCCGATCCCCGATCCCGGGCAGCAAAATAAGCCAAATCAAGTGGAGAGTGGGGTCCGAATGTGGATGCCTGCCTGTACGTTAGCAATCAGCAGCAAAAAGCATAAAAAAACAGCAAAAAGCCAAAAAGCAGCAACAAAGCAAGCAAACGGCAGCAACACCGCATACAAAATACAAAAGCGGCCTAACACAGCAAAAATGTGTTTTTTGTCAAGGGTGAATGACCCAGAATCAAAATCCACAAAGTCGTCGACGTCGTCGTCGTCGTCGTCGTCGCTGCTGCCTGGCTGGCTGCTCCTGCCCCTCGATTCCGCCTCGAATCACCACTCTCCTCTGCCCGCAATCCTCGCGTGAATCTGAATCCGAGTCCTCATGCAGCCAAATCGGTGGAGTCTTCGTGCGTTTGGCTCGTTTCATTTTTCGTCATCCTCGAAACACGCCGCACCTCTCGCTTTCTGCATCATTTTGTTTTGTATTCGCAGTGGTCGCTATATGGGCACCCCCTGCATCCACCTCTACGCCCCTGGCTGTTATGATTGCCGTTGCCAGACGATAACCCAAACCAAACCGAAAATGAAAAATACAAAAAAAGTGAAAAGTACAAAAAAATATATAGCTAAAAGCAATGAATTTGAACATTTTTGCAGCATTGCACACGCGACTCTCGCGCGTTCCCTCAGCCAGACAGTCTGAGAGATACAAATGCGGCCCACTCGCAGATACTGATACAGATACAGATACAAATACAGATGCAGATACATTTGCAGATACAAAGTGTAAAGAACCTCGCTCTCTGCATGTTCCATGGCCCCAAGTGCTATCGGGCAAACCGAGAATCGCTAATTGCCGGCGTATTTGCGTAGATAAACGTTAAGTACTCATGGAACCGAGCTCCCAATCTTTTCAATATCCTTACCAAACACTCTGCAGAACTCTTATGATCTCAATTTGTAAGGTTCCTTGCTAAGTTTTCAGTAGAGTTGGACTTTTTTGGTCTAGGTTAGAATTTCCTTTCCTTTTGATCTTTCTTTCTTTGGATCGTAATTCCAATTAATATATTTAGTGTATATATAACCTTTTATTTAAACGCATAATTCTGCATTACAATAGTGTCACAGTAATAAATGGACGGAAAAATTCACATTTTACGACATTTTCAGATATCCTTTGTTCAAGTGTACGACCCCGAACAAAGCGGCAATTAAAGTTGACCCAAGACGTTGTCGACAAGAACCAAAAGCCCGCTTGTTCGCCTCGTCCTGTCACCTAATTTCCGTTTTAGAAAACATGTCCTCAGCCCCGGCCAAGAGGCACTTGAGGGAGCCCTTCCCTGACCCCCTTCCTAACCCCTTCCCTATCCCCTCCCCATGCCAATCAAGTCTGGCTGTCCTGCGAGCACTACAACTAGTTCTGCCAGCCGTCCTCGTCCTCAGAGGACGACGACAGCAAAGGCAGTAAGAGCAGCAGCAAATAATTTTGTAATTCAATTGTTGTCCTTCTGCGCATATGGCGTGTGTGCCGACTGAGTCCTGCGGCAGGTTCTGCCGACTAGCTGCGAGGCAAGTGGCCTAGCCAGACCAGACCAGACCAGACCAGACCAGAACAGAACAGACCTGACGGCTGTTGGTTCTTTGACTTGTCCTGCTCCCGTTTCGAAGACCTACGACAATAGCAAAAGTTGCCAAGCATAACCGGAAAAGGAATGGCCGACAAGCACCGACGACCTCGGCCCGTTCCTTCAGTTGCTGTTGAAGACTCAGCAAATTGCAGGTCCTGGTGTCCTGGCTCTATCCTGTTCTATCTAGTGTGCTTCCTGTGCCACAGTTGGCAAACAGTTTTCACGTACCTGCCGCAGAGGACTAAGTGGCAACATTTTCCTAGCCTGCATGGCTACAAAATAAGACACCCATTTATTAGGATCTAGAATCTGGTTTATTTAATTCTCACAACTTGCATTTTTCTCCTATTCTCGCAGCAAATTTTTTATGAGCACAGTAAACCGCGATATTATATACATTAGCCGAATCGAAGTCTATCCGTAAATGGTATTTTGTTTGGTATAAACTGCTTAAAACCGACTATTAGAATGACCTAATAAATGTTCATTGGAAAGATTAGTCTCCCAACTGCATGCTAAAGCATTCGATTTCTGCACGCTACCTCACCTGTTTTGCTGATAGCATATCTCCTCCTCTCTCAGGGTTCTATACTGTAGTGTTCTCTATTGCTTTCAAATTTTAGTTTAGTATGTAATAAATTCCCCGACTTTTTTCAGTGCACTTGCCAGTGCACAAAACTTTTGCGTTGGGCACAAACTTGTGTCGCTGTACTATTTGGATGTGTTTGGATCTGAAAGACAAGACTTTTAATTAGGGCTTCGTACAAACTACTTGAAAAGCACCGATGATCATTATCCAACTTGAGGTGTCGGTTGCAGATGCACTGCTTGCCCAGCTGAAAGCATTTTCCCACCGGCATCCGAAGTCGAGATGGCCGAAAGGAGCTTTTCCCATGACTACTCATCGCTTATCCGCCCCGTAATTTATGCGTATTAATTTCATCTCGAGCCTATCCGGCTTCCTGTCCCTGCGATGGCACAATGCAATTTGCTTCGCTCCCTTCTGAGCCTCGTTATGCGTTTTGAGTCGGCCATCGTTCGATGTCCTCTTTCCGTTGTCCTGCGGACCGGTCAATGCATTCCACCGGGCATCGTATTGACCGCCACAAAAGATACGGCGTGGATACAGAAAAACAAAAAATAATAAAGGATTCCCTCGCTCGCGTTATACCGCGAGGACAATAGGATTGCAGAATGCATCGCAGGAACCGCACAATCCCTGCGCTATTATTCGCATTATAATGCCATTTCGATATGTACGTGTACGTAAATAAACAACGAAAAATATAAAAAAAAGAAAGTGGAAGCCTCGGCCATGGCAATCGCTTGTGCTCTAATTGCCGGCAAGGACCTGCCTGGATCCGACTGCCTGGCATCCTGCTAGGCTGGACATGCAATTGCATTGCAGTCGCTGCTCCTGCTTCTGGCATTGTTCCAGGCCCGCTTAAGGGTTGAGTTTCAAGTTCTGCACTCGTCGGGGTTATCGCACGATTACAAAAGATTTCCTTCTCTATGGTCAGCTTCAGATCCTGAATCGGATTTGGATGCAGATTGAGGCTCGGGTTCGAGTACAGCAATGCGAAAGGGCGAAACTTACAGCGGAAGTCGAGCGCTCATTTCAGCACCATCTTCCTCTTCATCAGCTGCTCCAGGATTGGGATGGCAGGGCGGTCGGATTGCGATTTATCTAGGAGATACTCGTACTTTATGCAGCAGCTGCTGCGGAGATAGGGGGATATTAATCACTGGGCTGCCTCATAGTTTGGTATAGTTTGACCTCTGTGTTCTGCGTGTGAAATATAAGTCGTTCATCTGCCACATCCTGCCACATTTTTCTGACCTTTCCTTTTGTGCTTTTTTGGTTGCATGCACAAGGAGAAAAATAAGCAGAAAGTGGTCGGAAACCTTGTTTTTTTAGCTGAATATACTAAAAAGTTATCCGCTGGCTTGCCTTCCGAGCATTTCTTGTCTGTAATAAAAGCTTTTAAAATATTACCTTATAAATAATTTAAATTCAATTGGGAAAGCGACCAAACCAGGGGTAACCATGCAGTAGTGTGCTGAGATTGAATAAATACCACTACTTATTGAACTCACATTTTGTTTTTGTTCCGTATGCGTGTGCTTGACCTTCTGGGCTGTCGTTGACCCCGCTGCGGTGTGAGCCCAACTGCATCGCGCCCATGCGGGAAGGGATGCGGGGAGCGGAACGGGCAGCGGTCTCGTACATAATGTACAGCCAAGTCCTGCGGCACTTATAGGAGCAGCAGCTTGTGCCGCCAGTCGCGTTTCCATCCCGCCTTTGTTTTAACTCGCAAATTTCTACTCGTGCACTTGAAACATAGAATGCACTCAACCCCACACACTGCACTCTGCACACTACACACTACACGGCACACTCGCATGCACTCGAAAATACTCACTCGGCCGTACTGACCTATTCCTCTGAAAACGCTGGTTGGCCTGTCTGCTTCCAAATGCCTCAAGTAGGGGCCCAGAGTAGAAGGTAACATAACATAGCGATTTTCGAGACCAAGCCAAGCGTGAACGTTTAAAGTTCCCATTGTTTTTGTCCAGGGATTAAATGTGGGCGGCATGCAGGGGGCGGATACGGAAATTTAGTGGGAAGGATAATGAATAGGTTGCCTAGGAATTCGCTCTCCGATACGCCTACTCGTACTTTTAGCTGGCCCTTTGCGGTAAAAAGATCCAACAATCGGGAACTTTTCAGACTTGAGGTGCATACGAATTAAACTGTTGAAATATTTTTATTCATTGATTGTTATTAGGCCTAATTAATTAATATTTGGCGTGAGGACCAATACTTCCAGATGTGTGGTGTGTCACTCGCTTTGAATAGACCATCACAGCAGATTTTTAGAGCGTTTCGTCACTACGTTTACTGCCACCCACGGTGATATATTTTCGCTGTCTACCCTCATCTACTTTCGAATGTCCTTTTTTTAAGTAATGTGATTAAATATTTATTTATGGACCGATTTAAGATACAGAAATATACAAGCAGATAATTGGCCCATTAATTTGCAACACAGTCTTATCTGAAAATGAAACCCAGTGCAGTTTATGCAAATATGATCTCTCTATCGAGATTAGTGACACTTGATTGCATTGCGTTATGGCCACAAGCTCTGCAATCTCTTAAAAAATGTTTTAACACCTCGTTGAGCTTACAGGGGCTTGCGATTGGGAATGCTTGGGGTCCTGCATCCTGAAAATCGATATTTGGACAGAAGGTTAAAGATGGAGCAAGGCAGTAGCAGGGGCAAAACAAACCTGGCTGCCAACACCTTGGAGCAGACGGACGACATTTGTGGACGGGGTATTGAATGTAATTAAAAGGAGTTGGATTACACGCGTTGGTGGTTGCGGGCGGGGCCTAGGGGGGCTGGAGGACCCCTCTCAAACGGAGCCGGTTGCATGCATGCAGAAACCAAACGACAAACCAGGAAAAAATGGGGAATGCCAAGAGGGGAGGCTTCTTCTTTTCACTTAACACACAAGTAAAGCTCAAGCTCTGGCTCCCGCTCCGCTCCTGCTCCCGCTCCACTGGATCCCTTCTGACTGAGCGACTCTTCAAAATGCACTTTAAATGGCAGTTTCCGGTCACACACACACACATACGTGTGTGCTCCTATAGAGAGAAACAATGCAAAAACGCCAAGGAGTCGCGCTGTGCCAGGAGCAGCAATGCACCGCTTGGTACATACTGTACTCCACCCCTCGACGTCGCTGTCATGTCCGCCGTCATCGTCCTTTAGCCGTCATCGTTGCCGTTGTTGTTCGCATCCCTCACATCTACCTTTCCAGTCCTCTCCTGCATTCAGAATTCCTTATCCTTCGTGCTTAATGCAGTCTAAGCTTTTCATAGGCCTACCCCTTGCAGTTTTGCATTTGCAACGGCATCGTCCTTTGTGCAAGGGTTGCTGCTGCCGAGAGGACTCTCTGCATGCAGTCGGCTTTATTAATCATTCCCCGCACATTAGCATAACGAATTAATAATCATATTTCTGGTTAAAGGCGCAGTTTCTTTCCTATTTTCTTGACCGCCCGTACAGTTTCGCGACCCATATCCTGAGTCGCTCTGCGCGTCTCCCGCTCTCCATCGTGCGCAGCCCTCGAGGTTTCACGCTCCGCGTCCTTCTCAGCCCGCCGAACTTCCCGCTCTGCATCCTGGGCCGCCCTGGCTGTCTCTCTGCCCGTATCCTCGGCTGCTCGTCCAACGGCCTTTCCCAATCTCTCTGCCTCCCGTTTCACAATCGGAAAGGACATGCAGATCGGGCGCAACTGACGTCGCCAGAAATCCACACGCATTATCCTGCTGCCGGACGAATCCACGTGGTAGGTCACAACAGCGACGGTATCCTCATCCAAAGGCTGGATAAAGTCCTCGTCTGTGCCGGATTCATACAGTTCGCCAAGGTACTTTTCGATCTCCTTCGTAGAGGGGCGTTTTTCGGGGTTTATATCCAGGCAACATTGTATTAATTGCTTGATGCCCTCTGGGCAATCGGATCTCACAACATCCATTGGAAGCTTTACGCCTGAAACGTATATGTAAATTTAAATTAGTAATAATTCGACCAACGAGTACTCATTATTCATCCATAGACAGTGGAAACCAACTTGCACTATTATGGAATCTGTATCTACCTTATCAGCTTCTAGGTTACGAGATATCAACGTTTACCCGGACGGACGGACGAAAAGCCGGATAAGACTAGATCGCCTTGGCTAATGATAGTCATAATAATGTGCATATTTTAAATAAGTTAATAACAGTTACCTGAAGTGATAGCTTTCATGATTTCGAACTGGTTATTGGGGCTTTTCAAGTGACTATAGGGCAATTTACGAGTCATTAGCTCCCACAGCACTATTCCAAAGCTGTACACATCACACTTTGCCGTATACTTTAATTCCTTGATTGCCTCTGGAGCCATATACCGCAATGTTCCACGCATATCGGACTTATTATTGGACATATCCGTAGCCAGGCCAAAGTCACAAAGTTTTAGGTCTTCGCGTTGATTATGCAAAAGCATGTTTTGCGGCTTAATGTCGCGGTGAACAATAGGTCGCTCCAACGAATGCAAGTATGCTAAGGCCTAAATCAACGAAAATGTAACAGACTGTGGAGCAAACCGACCTTGCACTTTACCTTGGCGCATTGGAGTGCCCAGCGCACCGCCTGCTCCACGGTGTACTCCCACTTGTTTGTGCCGTAGAGGAACTCGTGGAGGGACCCGTCCTTTAGATACTCCATCAACAAGTAGTTCTTCTTTCCATCGCTGGCCCTGCCGAGCACCCTGATAACGTTTTCGTGGTCGATTTCCGACAAATGTGTGATTTCCCGCTCTGCATTCTTTTTAATCGTTTCTTCTAGGAAATCAAATATCTTTACTGCAATTTCCTGATCCTGAAAGGTGGCTTTGCGCACCGCTCCTCCGGATCCAGCAATTCCTGGGGATAAGTGGTCTGTGAGTCCTGAACAAGCTTCCAAGTAAAACCTACCTCACTAAGCTTCACCTCCGCAAAATCCACAAGCTTAGCCATTTTTAGCAGTACGTGCGACCGGTTTGATGCAATCTATAAACTGAACTGCGAAGATAGTTGTGTTTCTGTGCCAGTTAAGTGAGATAAAAACACCTTATCGGTATGATAAGAAACAATTCTGTCTTTCCCCGTATTCCAACTTATCAACAATACTCAGTATTATTTTTGTGACTTCTCGGCAAATAAAATTAATTGTTTATTCGACTTACCTCTATTGCAGTTTCCCACAACCTGGGTCGCGATTCATATCGCACCTTCAGCCCGGAAATGTACTCATCCTTATCAAGCCCATTGGGACCGCATGGAACTGGTGAGTGATAGTTGCATTTAAATGCGGTTTCCGAACTAGTTAATTGTAGCTATTTATTTATGGGCGCGAACTTGTGGGATGTGAACTTGTTCTGATTTTATATTTGTCTACAATACGTTTGCTGTTGTGCAAGTAGATGGTGCCGTCAGTGATTTGATGGACTCTTGAATGTCCCTTTTATGCTCTTTATATTGGCAGATCTGCCCATCTGGATCTCGCATTACACGAGTGTCTACGGTTACATAAAGCCTCTGACAGCAGTTGCTCTCCATTAGTTTGTGCCCCCGGCACCGAGTTCCTTGCACTCCTTTCGTTTTCAGCCATCATATACCCACACATTTGTTGCTGTAGGTCCAGCACCAGTACACCGCTATAAGTCCGGGTTCCACTCCCGACTTATGTAAACCACATGCCCACTTCACTTGGCAGGCTGCCTGACTCGCAGGCTTGCGGAATGGTGCAGACAAAAAAATCTGAACTGGAAATGTATGAAGTATTGGGATATTTCTTTCATGACAGTACTAGGTATATTATTAGTTCCATACTCAAGATATTTTCCTGTGTAGCAGGTTTGGCTGGATGGTAGAATGGTAGGATGCGTTTACATAATGCAAATGCAAGTATATAGCACTTGAGCATGCTCTTCGCGCCACGTTTCGCATATTTGCCGGCTGCATGTGTCCTGGTTTGGGTTTTCCGGCTGTGCCACCGATTCTGGTTAGCCCTTTGCTAAGTCAGCACCTCGCCACGTCAATTTTTGGACTGCGGAATTAATGGGTTAAGTAAATAGCCATGTAATATGTTGCAGTGCCTGTGTTTTTTTCGAGGGACCTCTGGTTATGCCAAGAAGGACTTCAATGGCAGCGCTCGGATGTCGTTGCTGCTATCCTCCGGTCTGCACTTTTTCGCCATTCAGAGCAGAGGCCTCGTTTTCGCTAACGAAGGCTCCGAGTGGTTTGTAAATTTCAAGATAGTTTTAAAATAAATATTTAAAGAACCAATGTCGACCAATTAATCGCTTTATAGCTATTTAATTTAATAAGCTTTAATAATATTTTAGTTAAATTTATTTTTCATTTGTTACTGCGGAAATTTCAGTGGACCCGCTAAATATACATATTTTGTATACTTAAATGTAGGAAAAGCAAAAAAAGGCTTATAGCAACCATCTGAATCGTGATTCATGTAGGTGGTTGCACCTTGCTGAGCGAAATGTAGGTGAAACATTTCGCATTCATTTGGCGGCGACAAAAACGCGTTCTTGCACTTTAACCGCGCTGGAAAAACCCGTAAGCACAGGCGGGCGGACTAAGAGCGCTGTTGTCGTCGCCATGTGTGCGCAGATTGCATTTCAATGGGTCCGACCCTCCTCTGCCAAGTGATTCCCCTCCAGAAATCCTTGCCTGCATCTTTGCCGGTTTCCCAGGCTGCGCCATGTGCAAGCTGCACGGCTGTTGCTGCTGCGATGTTGCTGCTGTGCAATGCATTGCTCGTTGCAAGGGTCGGCTGTTGTGGCTTTTGTTTTAGGAAAAGAGAAGTGAGAACAACTTGCCCCTTGCGATGGCAAAAGGCAAGAAAGTAGGCCAAGTTAAAATTGATTTAATGCGTTGATTGCATGGAAGTCGAGTCTCGTTGCAATTGCGATTGCAGTTGCAGCTGCAGCTGCAGTTGCAGTTGCAGTTGCTGAGATTTATGCCGCGTCAGCTGCGTCTTGTTTAACTTTCGATGGATCTTAATCTCGCCCGCGATCCGTTGGCCTGGGATCGTACTGACCCAGAAACGGCCAGGTATGGTAACACAGGGCGTATGAGTAATATGGGATTGCGAGCATTGACCCAGGACCTGTGGCCACCCACTTCGCGAGTTCGTTAAAATAATTGCCAACCCCTTTGTAGTTTGCGTGTTGCAACGACCCCACCGTTCAGCTATTTTCGCAGTTTGTTGATTTTCTCGGCGGCAACGTCAAGGAGCTTTCCTTTTGACAGCTAATTGGAAAAATGTTAGAAAATTCGGCTTCTGTTTACTCGCGCACATCAGATTGTTGCCTCGGCAATCGCCGCGGATCGAATCGAAGGGTCCTTGGCAGGATGCGGAACAAGGGCGCATTATATTTTAACACCTTCATCCAATTGCCAGCTTTTTGTTCTACTTCCTCGCATCTATCCTGTCCGCTGTCAGATGCGTTGCCCTTCTGTCCCTGCCGCGGGCTTAATTTATGGACTTTGGCCATTTGCTGGCGCATCATTATACTATATTTTTTACTTGCCGTAGCTGTTCCATGCCAAAAGTGACGACAAAACATTCCACAATATGACAAAAGCGAAAGAAAGAGAAATCCCTTTTGCAAAAGAATCAAATGCAAAAAAAAGACGCCATCGACAATTTAGATAAATTTTCCCACCAGCCATGGCCATAAAAACAAAGACCACGACCCGAGAAGATCATCGAGGGGTGCTCTAGCTCTCGCTCTCTCTCTGTTTCTCTGCAGGATTTCGGGGTGTCCAGGCCACGGGTGCGGTCATCATACTCATCCTTATTCCTCTACCCATCCCCACATCACCCAGTCCATTCATCCACAATATAATCACGCTGTGCTCGATATCGAATGATAAACTCCGAGCCAGAGTCGTATGAAGATGATAGTGTGCGGTGCTGGTTATGGTGACGGTGATGGTGGTGGTGCAGCTTGCCTCCTCCAGTTTGTGTGTGCTCAACGGCTCAGCGCATATCCTTCAGGTACAACTTACTCATATATCACAAAAGGATACTGCGCTTCTCCCGTTGTGTGCTTTTCTGCTTAGCTTTTTGTCTTGTCTGCGTGGCCAGCTCTCTGGCTATTACTTTTTATCCCCTCGATCCCCTTGATCCCCTCGATCCTGCTCGTCGTGCTCGTCCTGCTGGCCGCTCGAAGGTGACACCGTGGCACAGACAATGGCCAAAGGAGGAGACACGATGGTCAAGCGACCGCCTCTCGCAGCGCTAGAAAAAAAAAGGAAGCGGCGAGCAAAAAATTAGACGAAACGAACCAGTCGCTGGTCAAATGCAAAAAATACTTATAAAAAGAAGTACGCAAATCAAAATCAGCTCATAAAAAACGTAGTTTTATATGTGGGTCTGCATTAAAAATGCAAATGTCGCATTGAGTTTCCTTACTTCATGGCTTGGTTTCTTCTCCTTTTTTTTGGGCTCATCGTCCTTCTCTTGCGATGTCCTCGCAGCGGCTGGTCATCCACTTCCTGTCCCTGTTTCTGGGTTGGCATTTAAGATTTTGGGTAAACAACGTTTCGCAACGGTGACTAGAACCTAATTTCTTGACTTGAATATCTAATGTACTTGGAACAGAACGTGACTTATTCAAGAAAACCGATTTCCAAATATTTGAATTTGTAAAATTATTTTTTTTATTAACTACTTTGCTCAAAAAAGGTGTTGCCCCAAATATACTTTATTTTATTTAAATACTCCAGAATAGTTATCTACGAATATGTTATTTTTCTACCAAGTTCTATGGCTTTCATTGATTTAATTGATTTTCATTATTAAAAATATATCATATGATATAATATAATATAATAGTTATTTAAAAATATAATATAATTAATTGTTATAGGATATCATTGATTGTTATTTATTAAATCCTGCACCCGCACTGCAAGAGTTTCATTAATCCAGATTGATTTTGCTGCTCTTATAACCAAAAGCTATGCTCGCTAATTTCGAGAGTACAGCAGCAAAAACGTGAGCAACCAACCACCGGCGATAAAAAGCCGAGCCAGAAGGAAGCGCGAATAAGAAAATAAAAAAAGAGGAGAAACTGAACTATCAGCGCGGCTCAATAAGTTTCGGCCCCTGGACATTGTCCATCCTTTTGCGAGAGAGGTTCAGGTACATTGGAGGACGCGTCCTTAGGCGAGTGTGAGTACCTCTACCTCTACCTCTACCTCTACCTACATCCATTTGAATGCAGACAAGTCCTTGCGTCGTGATCTTCCTTTGTGCGGCGGCCAAGTGCGCTGCTGTCTGCCGCCCTCCCCCCAAAAACCGCTCGACCCTCGGCAACCCCGGCATCTCGAAGGAAATGAAATGAAAAGCATGCAGAAAAAGTTTTATTATGCGCGAGAGGGAAAAAATGCGATTTTTTATATGAAAAATATTTTGAACGTACTGCGGACTGCGGCTGCTGGCGTGGCAGGGCGTTGAAGAGGGAGCGGTACGAGGACGAGGATCAGGATGAGGATGAGGGGTCGCTATAGGGGAACAGGGGCAGACATGTATGGGGGTAGGGTCTCGAGCTTTGTGCCTTCGCCTGTGTGTTTGTGCCTCTCAGATCGCAAGAAGTGTTGGATGTCATCTTATTATTTCGAGACCATCGCAGCGACGCCGGCAGAAGAGCTCTCCGATCCGAGGCGATCCAAGCCGATCCAAGCCGTTCCGATCCGATCGCCTTGATGATGACCATGCGTCCGTGATATTCCCCTACAGCTAGCTGGCAAAGAGCCACCGCCACTACGGGGCCACTGCGTCCCCCGTCAGATGTAAGCCTCGCAAAACTGTGGGAATGAAAACAGGATCGGCACGAAAAACTGCGTTATCGCCGCGGATACGGACATTTCTTAATGTTGTTGTTTCTGATGATGCCTCCGACTTTTGATGATGCTGCTGCTGCTGCTGTTGCTGCCTCTTCCGCTTCTGATGGTCAGCTTGATCAATGTGAGGCATCAGCATCAGCATAAGCGTTATCCTTTCAGCCTCGTTGCCTACATTCGCTCCGTTTGGCTTTCGTTTTCTGCCCTGGTTGCGAAAGAATACGCTTTCGATTTTTACCCACCGAAGGCTTTCGTCGATCCCACAGACGTACTTCTGTAAATTGAACTGTTATCTACTGACGGCTCAAATTTTTCTTGTTATTAACTTTTTATTATTTGTAATGGTCCTGATATTATTTGAGATTACGACTTGATTACGACTGCAGAATCGCTCAAGATCGAAGGCTCAAAACA